GTCGACAAGCACATCGCTCGTGAGAAAATAAAACTCACCGAAACAGAGGACGATGATATGAAACGTCTTATCGAGGAGAGAATAAAAAACTTGGAAGACGAGAGACGGACTCGGTTGGAATCCGCTTCCTCGAACCGGGAAGCCCTCTGATCCCAGATCAGTCGTGTACGGGAAACCATCGATCGAGTCCTAAATGAGGACACCACGCTAGCTGACAGGATCCGAATCCTCTTCCGAGAGCAAGGGATCACCATCGCCAGCATTCTGACGGCATTGGGCTTCATCATATCAACCCTGGTGGTGTCGCTGAGTGGGGGTACACCAACACCCACCCCACCAAGTGGGGGTACACCCACTGGTGACGTCAGAGACTGGATAAAAAAACACCTGAAATCACTCGGTGAAGCCCTAGCTAAACTTGCTGGTAAGGCCGCCGAAGCCCTGCCCGGCATCCTGGGTAGCATCGTCTCGTGGTTACTTAGCACGCTGGCTATAACTGTCATGTGGCTCGGTCAAAACCTGTGGGCAGCCATCGTTGCCGTGGAGGGTCTGGTGTACGTAGCGGCTAAGGAATTTTTAACCAAATAAGCCCCACCCCGACCGCGACCCCGCCAACCACCAGCGCTGTTTTACGGTCGATGTGCTGCTGATTGGCAGCCTGCACGTGTGGGGGTTGGGGTTGTGGGGGTGTTGGTTGAACCCTGGGCTCCGGGGGTGGTACGACTATGCCTGTTGATGCCGTTGTTGTAACCCACCACTTTTTTTACTCTCAATTGCATATCGCTCGGAGCCATGTACAATCCCACGTCGAAGACGTAGTCGACTTTCGATCGGGCGTATTCCAACACGTCTTGGTAGCGTCGGATAGCACTCGCGAGATCAACTGGAGCATTGATAGCATCCTCAACGTTGGACACGAACTGTTTCTGAGCGTCGTAAGCAGTCCCCTTCCCGATAATACTGGAACGCATTTGCGCCTGCGCACCTAACAGCGCCCACACGTACGTTCGAATTGAGTCGTTCAAGCGTTTGGTGCCGGCACGAGTAAACCCTTTCGACATGTCCAGCATGAACATTTTCCAATCGTTCGTGGGCCCCTGCTCGAACCTCCAGACTAGGTAATCCTTGCTGGGGTCGAAAGCCATGTAACGGTCATCCCACTCGTTTGTTGTGATATGATACGACTTGTTACCCCAATCTTTCACCAGCTGTTTGCTGACTTCTGCGATGTGCTTATTGTGAGTGATGGGGATACCCAACCCATGGCTCGAGCACGGCAAACGCCAATCCGTCTTCGGGTCTAGTTCGAATTCATTGCAAACGCGTTCGTAGGCCCATCTATCGTACTGGTTGTTTACTGCGTCCCATGCTTTGTCCTGTGGGATCGGAGTGCTGATCTCTTTGAGGATACGCCTGACCTGGTAGTACACGGTAATGCGGAACACAGACTGACTCCAGCGCCCCCGCCGAAAGTGTCGGTTAATGTCAAGCCACACCCGCTGTAGCGCACCACACGGGCGAAGTTGAGTTGATTCTGCCAGAACTGCATCGGGTTGTTGAACCAAGCGTGGACTACCTTAGCGTTAGTCACCGAAAACCTATACCTGGCAAATACATCTATAAACTGGGCGCCGAAATACAACCCAGCAGCGTCGACCACAATCTTCATGTGTGGGAAATCTATGTCCAGTTTAGGGTAAAACACTCCTGGCTTGTACATTTTTAAAGTATTATATAATGGGTATATATACTCTAACATGTACGTAACACTTCCAGGAATAACGAGCGGCGAGTCCGTTCAGTTGATGCACGCGATCGATAACACACCGGGCCAACTCGAAGTCGCACTCTGCGATATCACCTACCTACCGCGATGGACTAACATCAACGTCAACAACAACAAGCTGTCCGTCAGTGGCACCCGCAACCAGATAACTGACGGCTACTACAGCGCAGTGATCGCTAAGCGACGAGGTCTTCAAACCCTTGGGAGCCGAACTCAAGATGAACGACTCAAACGGCACAGTGGTGTTAATCAACAAAGGGATAAACCCCATGAGGCTCGGTCGACCATTGGCGAGGACACTCGGGATGTCGCCGGACGAGATAAAACCCACAACTACTGTCACAGGCACAAAGTTACCCGACCTAGTACCGTACCGAGAGCTGTGCGTTCATCTTGGTCAGTTGAGCACAACGGACAACATTCAAGGTGGCCACCCTTCCACGATACTGAGAGCCGTACCGGTGAAAACGGAGAAATACAACGACGGTAGAACCGAGTCGTTTTCACCGCGGCAGTATAAGAGGTTAACTCGGGGCAACATCCCAGAGTTGATAATATCGGTGTTAGATATAAAGCATAATCCTGTGAATATAGGATACCTCAGCATAACGCTGCACATAAAATGACTAGCGCACAAGGTCCCGGAATGAGGTTGAAAAAATGCATCAATGCGGGGATCTCCGACCTTGTCGACACACGCGGATTCGACGACCCCGGAGTAGATGGTAAACTGTACGCCTTGCAACTGAAAAACAACATTTACAAAAGCGTTGAAGTCCCTTCCATCGGTAGAACCCTAGGTGACATAGTAGATGTCGCAGGAGCGGCCCTCAACACTCGGTTCGACCTCGTCCGTATCGGTGATGATAGATGGGTGGTATCCCAATCGTTCGGAGGCAAACTGTTCGACTTAGAAGATGTTGATAGCACAACCGTCACCCGAAACAAACCATATACGCTCATCTTCACCGACGACAACAAGTGGGTGTTGTTGCCCGCTAAAGTCGACTGGTTTCTCAACATTAGGCTTGGCTCCCCCTACGTGTTCACGGAGAACAAAGACAACTACCTAAACAAAGTCGTGAACAACGGAACCCTGCTCGTGGCTTACGTCCCGGCGCAGAGACGTAGTGTAATCATCAGCCCAGTCGCCAGTATGGCAGCCCACATGCTAACCGGGAGTGCAAGACGGGGCATTGCAGTTGGTGTCTGAATTTGCTGGCGTGGTCAACATCCTGGCGAGCCTACCGGCGAACTCCATGCTGGTCATCAAAGTCTACCTAGGGGAACCATCGCCGGATGAAGTCGAAATCGTGAAGGGGATCAAACTCCGGTTGGGGAAACAACACCAGTATCAGGTTTGCACTGTTGACGTTCGGGTGGGTGTCGACTCCCACACCAGTCTGCAGGGGGTCACCGTGACCGTGGAAGACACGATATCACTCACCAAGATTTTCCTACCCGACAACATACACTTCATGGGGGTGAAGTGCACCCCTGAGAAATTATTAGAAAAACAGTTGGAAATTATCTTGTAATAGTAATATAGCAATGACCAGTCATCGCCCCAACATTACACTCGGGGATCTAGCAGACACGGAGGAATTCGACCAACCCGGCGAGGAAGAGGCCTTATTCGTCCTACGCTTAAAAGATAACGCGTATAGGCGGGTGTCCCTGCCAGACTCCAAAGAACCCGAATGGGTGATCAACATGACCCTCGCCCCACCTTACATCTCATTAAATGAAGATAGGTATATCACCGAAATTAAGAACAACGGTATCTTGCTCGGGGGTTTCCCCCTTGATAACCGGAATATAAGAGTTTCCAAAACACACTATCCCCCGTACTACATATTAGAGGTAATTAAAGATACAGATTTCTCATTCAAATTATACGCTGGCCTACAGGATTCTATGGTTATGGCCCCAGACTCCACACTCATTATAGAAGTCCTTTTCGTAGACGCGATTGATCATGAGTGGAGGCCAGACCGGCGCCTGTTTTCTGGGGTGACAATAAATTGGCCAATTGGATATGCATTTTTTAATAGCTATAGTCGTATCATCATACAACTGAGCTCGGACCACTTACTGGGGTTGCTGCCACCCTTAATAAGCCACGATGAGGTTGGTATAGAACAAGAGTTACCTATTGACTTTTCCACTATTTACCTACCCAGGAGGTTAAACATTATAAGCTTCAAGTACATTAATCGACTATTTACTGGAGCTCAATTAAAAAATATCTTTTAGTATATATTATACGCACAGTATGGGCCTGTACCCAGTCGTAGAGGAAGTCGCGAAGACCCTGGGAACCGTAGACGGGTTCCGCTTGAGATAGTTATGTGATGTAAACACCAACTAAAACAAGACCGCGACACGCGGAAAGCACTATATGAGAAGTACCATAGAGCTTTCAATATCATGGACGGGACTGATACTGCCCTTACGGCAACCAGCATGGGACTAGGGGCGGCAGGTGTTGGGTTGTTGGCCACCATCGTGGCCGCACCTATAGTGCTAGGCATTGAAATAACAGCTGGGGTGGTAGGGGTTGCAGGGTTGGTGTTTAAGTTTGCATCCCGCAGACTGCATTGTAAAGCGTTGAAACACGACGAGATCAGGGTTCTGGCCGAAGCAAAGCTGAACACGGTAAGTGAGCGTATTTCCACAGCACTCACTGACAGTAAGATCTCAGAGGAGGAATTTCGTTCAATCCTCTCTGAACTCGACAAGTACCGTAAGATGAAACAAGAAATCCGGTCCAAGTCTCGTTAGTCTGCTATCAGCGAAGACGAGAAAAAAAAGTACATAGAACAAGGGGTACAAAAAGCCCATCAAGCCTTCATTACGAACACCAAAGATATCATTGGCGATTCACATTAAACTGTTTCCTCGAGGTCAACACGACATAGTGTCACGTGATCAGGATCGCGGTCATAGTGACACAATAGTGTCACGTGGGGTCGGGAAGTTAACTGGGGGTTCAAAAGTAGTATATACAATGGGGGTGAGATCAAAGGGCCTGACAAAAGCTTTTTTTGTGAAATAAAGCTTTACAGAGGCTTTTGTTGGACTTGGTCTCGGACAATCATTATATATACTACTCCCTGTCCAAAACTGGAAAATTTAAATAATGTATGGACATTGAAGCTTTATTAACATTAACAATGATGTGCCTTGCAAAATAATCTTACGGCTTACTTACCCTCTAAATCCATGTTATCTAGAACTGTAGCTGGCCTGAGGTATTTCTCAAATGTGCTGCGACAGATCTCGATCATACCGATCTGATACGTCAAAGAGGTCTGTGTTTCTTCCGGCACCTTGCAGGCCATCTTCCTAAGTAAGACATCATCAAATCATGTGATACTGAGGGCTTGGGGCCACTGATCATTGTAGTTCACCTTTAGTATTGTTTAAGACTCTCATAAATTCCAGCCACACAGCAGGACCTTCAAGGTTAATAAATTGCTTGGCTGTTCGGTAAATAATTTAACAATCCAGACAAAGGTTCCATAATCAGTTTCAGTATAATGTATTTTGAAACGATTTGTCACTTTGGGTACAGAAACAATAGGGTTTTTTCAATGGTTCGCAACGTTCTCAGTTGTATGAATGAAAAGGTGGTTGATTTGAACTCTGTTGCATACTGTTAAATGCAATGCCAAAGCATGATCACAGGATCACGTCACACAGGTGCCGGGACATGATGACATGGTGACATGATACAGCTGTAACTACATGATGACATGGTGACATGATACAGCTGTCACTACATGATGACATGATACAGCTACCACTACATGATGACATGATACAGCTGTCAGTACATGATGACATGGTGACATAATACAGCTGTCAGTACATGATGACATGGTGACATAATACAACTGTCAGTACATGATGACATGGCGACATAATACAGCTGTCAGTACATGTCATGGCGACATGATGTAGCTATCAGGACATGATGACATGGTGACATGATGCAGCTATCAGTACATGATGACATGGTAACATGATACAGCTGTCAGTACATGATGACATGGCGACATGATGCAGCTATCAGTACATGATGACATGGTGACATAATACAGCTGTCAGTACATGATGACATGGTGACATAATACAACTGTCAGTACATGATGACATGGCGACATAATACAGCTGTCAATACATGTCATGGCGACATGATGTAGCTATCAGGACATGATGACATGGTGACATGATGCAGCTATCAGTACATGATGACATGGTAACATGATACAGCTGTCAGTACATGATGACATGGCGACATGATGCAGCTATCAGTACATGATGACATGGTAACATGATACAGCTGTCAGGACATGATGACATGGTGACATGGTACAGCTGTCAGTACATGATGACATGGCGACATGATGCAGCTATCAGTACATGATGACATGGTAACATGATACAGCTGTCAGGACATGATGACATGGTGACATGGTACAGCTGTCGGTACATGACATGGTGACATGTTGACATGATACAGCTGTCAGTACATGATGACATGGTGACATGATACAGCTGTCAAGGCATGATGACATGGTGACATCATACAGCTCTCAGGGCACGATGTCGTGGTGTAATGATACAACTGTCAGGGCATGATGTCATGGCGACATGATACAGTCAGTGGGACATGATAACATACTTATGTACCAATGTACACCTGATGATGCCGTCTGTCACAAAAATATGTACACATGCTGATACTGTCTGTCACATAAATATGTACCTATGTACACCTGATGGTACTATGACACTATATACCTACTACACAACTCCTACACACCTACTACACAACTCCTACACACCTACTACACATCTTCTACACACCAACTGCACAGCTTCTACACACCTACTGCACAGCTTCTACACACCTACTACACAACTCCTACACACCTACTACACAACTCCTACACACCTACTACACATCTTCTACACACCAACTGCACAGCTTCTACACACCTACTGCACAGCTTCTACACACCTACTGCACATCTTTTAGACACCTACTGCACAACTTCTACAGACCTACTGCACATCTTCTATATACCTACTACACAGCTTCTACACACCTACTGCACAGCTTTTACACACCTACTGCACATCTTTTAGACACCTACTGCACAACTTCTACACACCTACTACACATCTTCTATATACCTACTACACAGCTTCTACACACCTACTGCACAGCTTCTACACACCTACTGCACATCTTTTAGACACCTACTGCACAACTTCTACAGACCTACTGCACATCTTCTATATACCTACTACACAGCTTCTACACACCTACTGCACAGCTTCTACACACCTACTGCACATCTTTTAGACACCTACTGCACAACTTCTACACACCTACTACACAACTCCTACACACCTACTACACATCTTCTACACACCAACTGCACAGCTTCTACACACCTACTGCACATCTTTTAGACACCTACTGCACAACTTCTACAGACCTACTGCACATCTTCTATATACCTACTACACAGCTTCTACACACCTACTGCACAGCTTCTACACACCTACTGCACATCTTTTAGACACCTACTGCACAACTTCTACACACCTACTACACAACTCCTACACACCTACTACACATCTTCTACACACCAACTGCACAGCTTCTACACACCTACTGCACATCTTTTAGACACCTACTGCACAACTTCTACAGACCTACTGCACATCTTCTATATACCTACTACACAGCTTCTACACACCTACTGCACAGCTTCTACACACCTACTGCACATCTTTTAGACACCTACTGCACAACTTCTACACACCTACTGCACAACTTCTACACACCTACTGCACATCTTCTATATACCTACTACACAGCTTCTAGACACCTACTGCACATCTTCTACATACCTACTGCACATCTTCTATATACCTACTACACAGCTTCTAGAAACCTACTGCACAACTTCTACACACCTACTGCACATCTTCTACACACCTACTACACATCTTCTACACACCTACTGCACAGCTTCTACACACCTACTGCACATCTTTTAGACACCTACTGCACAACTTCTACAGACCTACTGCACATCTTCTATATACCTACTACACAGCTTCTACACACCTACTGCACAGCTTCTACACACCTACTGCACATCTTTTAGACACCTACTGCACAACTTCAACACACCTACTGCACAACTTCTACACACCTACTGCACATCTTCTATATACCTACTACACAGCTTCTAGACACCTACTGCACATCTTCTACATACCTACTGCACATCTTCTATATACCTACTACACAGCTTCTAGAAACCTACTGCACAACTTCTACACACCTACTGCACATCTTCTACACACCTACTGCACATCTTCTACACACCTACTGCACATCTTCTATATACCTACTGCACAACATCTACACCTACTGCACAACTTCTACATACCTACTGCACAACTTCTACACACCTACTGCACATCTTCTATATACCTACTGCACAGCTTCTACACACCTCTGCACATCTTCTACACACCTACTGCACATCTTCTACACACCTACTGCACATCTTCTACACACCTACTGCACATCTTCTATATACCTACTGCACATCTTCTATATACCTACTGCACAACTTATACACACCTACTGCACAACATCTACACACCTACTGCACAACATCTACACACCTACTGCACAACTTCTACACACCTACTGCACATCTTCTACACACCTACTGCACATCTTCTATATACCTACTGCACATCTTCTATATACCTACTGCACAACTTATACACACCTACTGCACAACATCTACACACCTACTGCACAACATCTACACACCTACTGCACATCTTCTACACACCTACTGCACAACTTCTACACACCTACTGCACATCTTCTATATACCTACTGCACATCTTCTACACACATACTGCACAACTTCTACACACCTACTGCACAACATCTACACACTTACTGCACAACTTCTATATACCTACTGCACATCTTCTACACACCAACTACACAACTTCTACACACCTACTGCACAACTTCTACACACCTACTACACAACATCTACACACCTACTGCACAACTTCTACACACCTACTGCACAATTTCTACACACCTACTGCACAACTTCTACACACATACTGCACAACTTCTACACACCTACTGCACAACATCTACACACTTACTGCACAACTTCTATATACCTACTGCACATCTTCTACACACCAACTGCACAACTTCTACACACCTACTGCACAACTTCTACACACCTACTACACAACTTCTACACACCTACTGCACAACGTCTACACACCTACTGCACAGCTTCTACACACCTACTGCACATCTTCTACACACCTACTGCACATCTTCTATATACCTACTGCACATCTTCTATATACCTACTGCACAACTTATACACACCTACTGCACAACTTCTACATACCTACTGCACATCTTCTACACACCTACTGCACATCTTCTATATACCTACTGCACATCTTCTATATACCTACTGCACAACTTATACACACCTACTGCACAACATCTACACACCTACTGCACAACTTCTACACACCTACTGCACATCTTCTATATACCTACTGCACATCTTCTATATACCTACTGCACAACTTCTACACACCTACTGCACAACTTCTACACACATACTGAACAACTTCTACACACCTACTGCACAACATCTACACACTTACTGCACAACTTCTACACACCTACTGCACAACTTCTACACACCTACTGCACAACATCTACACACCTACTGCACAACATCTACACACCTACTGCAGAACTTCAACACACCTACTGCATATTTTCTACACACCTGTACATTTTCTACACACCTACTGCACAGTTTAACACACCTACTTCACAACCTCTACACACCTACTGCACACACACCTACTGACATACAGCACACCCTTTACACACCACAATCACACAATAATTGCATCAAATGCTAAAAGGCAAACACAAAGTTACAATATGGCTGTGGTGACAACCACATTGAAATTGAAATGAGAATCGTGCACATTTGTCAGAGACACCATTGGTGGGGTCATCGATATGGCCTTGAGAACTGCTGTCACAAATATACATGTGAATCATTACAGATACCTTGGCCAAATATAATCTCACATAACATTGGTGAGCCCAACCAAACATGGCGAGAACTTATTTCATCTGACCTGTTACAACTTGATGCGCAGTCAATATATACAAAATATACCTACCTTGATCAGTGCCTTATGTAATAATGATTAGTGCCTTGTATGAACTTATCATCAAATCAAACAGGATATTGTCAGAGCAAGACAGTTTGTATTATCAGGACTGGCTCACTCAATATATACCAGTACTGCTTCCATTTCTACGAAATAACCTACTTTCATTTTCTGTTCGTGGAAATCACCTGACAAATGTACGCATTGATCTCTGATAATGTACTATCAATAGGCAGCATGCATGACAGAGCACCTTGTTTTAGGGAGGGGACAGGTTAGGCATAGGCTGGGCTAAAAATAACACACTAGGCTTAGCCTTCAGTGGGCTGGTCCATTTAGCTCTTGAGGGGTAAGGACCCGCTAGGCAAGTGCCTAGTATGCTTCTTCCCCATTGTTATGCAATGAGATGGGCCAGTGCATGAGCATCTCATGAGCAGAGGGATCAGTCCACTGAACTTTTCTTTTGTAGGCATTTATTGGGTAATTTTCAGAGCATGGTTTTTATTGGGTAAGAGTTATAGGTTAGGGGTATAAAAGGGCAGATTATTTTTTCCTCTGGACTCTGGGGTCTTACAGAGACAAGAAAAGTGAGAAAATCACTATTGTTTCTGTAGACTGGGCAAACAGAGTTTTAAGTTTCTTAAGTTTTGATTAGATAATGTTAGGTAGTTAATTTTTGTTGTATTTTACAGGGAACATTATTTAGGGGAATTAAGTTGGGATAAGGGGCAATAGTATAGGTATATTTTATAGGGTTTTCATTTTTCACAGGATCCTTGTAGGCATTATTATTTTTGTTGTTTAATTAACTTAGTTTATTGCTGATTTTATGATATATATTAGTTGAGTTGAAAATAAATTTATTTGATTTGCAAAATCTTGTGTTTGGTTGTCATTATGACTTTAAACCCCTGAATCCTGCGGACCTGAGGACCGGAAACAGCATCCTCCTGTTACACCATACCCAGGCATATTCTGTTGGTAAATATGCAGCAGTTCTGTGGTATTAAAGAAGTCTAGCCATGCTCAGGAAATGTTTGAATGCTCAGATGCTCGGAGAATATTTAAACATCGCTTTGTGTGTTTGTGGGTTGTTTTAAATACATGTGTGTGATGTGCTGTGTTGTGCTGTGCTGTGCTGTGCTGTGCTGTGCTATGCAGTGGTGTGGTGTGTGTGTGTGTGCGTGTGTGCGTGCGTGTCTTAACACATCTTACATTGAAAAAATCCCAACAAATTACAGTTTTTAAGAGACATTAAACTTAGGTAAATGAAATTTAGTGTTTCCTGTGTTCAACATAACAAAATGGCAGCCAGTAAATAAACAATCAGGCACTAATACAAGGTGACTCATACTGTGGACATTAGCCTGGAGAGATTCACCACACAATCTGATGTATTTGTAGAGCTGTGCTTTGCGGTGGAAATGAAAACAAATTTTAAATGTTTAACCCACCTTTTATTTACCCACAGTTGTTGATTCATATACACTTATGACTGTAAAACATGGCACGAAAAAGCTGCAGTATCTTACTAAGGTCTGACTATCACTGAATCATCTGACATCTAACTTAAAGACTTTCATTCGACTAACTAACTAACCAACTAACTAACAATGGGTAGGATCACTAAATATGTTTATATAAAATACAAACATGCAAACAAATGACATGCAGATGTTCCATCAGTGAAGTGTAATGCGTTCGCATGCACAACACTGCCCGAGAATAAAGACATCATCTATATACACATACTGAACATGTATCCCAAACACATCTATTTATGGTGGCCTTCACTGCAAACATGTGCCTCTGGTAATTCAATCCAGGAAGCAGATTACGTTGTCAAATGGGTTTGAGACAATCCCTGAACAGTTCTTCAGTCCAAGCTGTGTTCGGGACTTCATGTGTAATTGATTTATTACAAGGAGCTTTGAAAATGATCTCAAATTGAGGGAATAGTTTCTACTGAGTTCAGTTCGATATAAACCTTCAGTTTGGTAACCAGCTGACAGTCATAAACCCCATTAAAGCTGAAGCCACAGAAGCTCATTTGCAAGATGAAGATCACGACTGTTAATATCAAATGTTTGAGAACGCATACAGGGTTCCCACTCCCAATCTTACAAGATTTATTCATTGTACACATGACCCTCACCTGTGTCTCGCAAAGGTTTGTTACTTTCACTCATATTTGCTTTAATGTGTGCAGTTGAAAATATAAGGCTCTCCCTTCTGATCAAAAGCAACAAAGTAAAAATAACATGAAAATATAAAACAAACAAATAAAAGTTATATAGGCAATTTTAATGACAGAAATAACAATAACTGTTCTATTTCTTTTGGATCATATTGAGTTGAATGTACACATGGTTTAATACTATAATACCAGTTTATCACAATTTGATGAAAGACATAAAGGATAATTCTCCACACTAAAGAGATTGTAAAGTTCTTGGTAATAAAAAATGAAGAAAACTGCATTTAAATAATTATTTTCAGTGTAAAGACAGAAAACCAGAGTGTAAATATATAATATATAGTGTATAATCTACACACAAGTATAAAATTGGTGCAGCAATGCAAAACTTGTCGATCAGATGATACATACTATTCAGGGTTAGCATACTAAGCACACCAATAATATATAACCTGTTCATGATTTTATGCTGCATACTAATTGATCACAATCAAAGTATAAAAGAACGCTTAAGGTGAGTCATGATTAGAAACTCAACCATAGAAGACTTCCAATTACAGTGAAAGTTGAACATCTCTCAGGCAATACATGATAAGTACACACGACAGACAACACATGATCATGCCAGCTCCACTTGTAGATGTCCATGTAAGATCACAGTGGGTGACACACTCTTTTTATACAGAGTTTCGTCACTTTTGTTGCTGCAGATTATTAACAGTACTTAGTGGTTGAATTCAGGCATGGGGGACAGAAATATTCACACGGCAAGGAGTTCAAGCATTCAAGATTCTGAGATGAATGTTTCAACTTATCCAAAGTTCTAATAAAGCAGAAACAAAAGTTTAGATCAGAAAAATTTTGATTACTTGAAATGTTAATGAAATAACTGGAAATTACCCCCCTCAGTACATTATCAATGATGGCAATATGCGTGGTGTTTCATCAACCCACATGACCATCTGACTGGCTAAGTGGAGGAGTGAGTCTTTTAGCACATGTATAAGAATCCAGCCATTTCACACCAAGAACTGACTTCACACTAAACACCTGCATGAAATCAACCATCATCGGCAACTACTGTGCTACACTGCTGCCAACTTTCAGTTAGAAGGTAGTTACAGATGATGACTGACTGACTGACTGAGTTTGGTTTTACGCCGCTTTTAGCAATATGCCAGCTACATCATGGCGGAGGACACTAGAAATGGACTTGACACACTGTACCCATGTGGGGATTCGAACTCGGGTCTACAGCGTGATGAGCCAACGCTTTAACCACTAGGCTACCCCACCGCCCCGACAGATGATCATGATGATGGTGGTGGTGGTGGTGGTGGTGACAACAATGAAGATACTATCATGGGCCTAAATTCTGAACATAACTTTTATTATATTACATGATGCTTAAAATGTTAGAATGTGTTTTATGATAGTTATTAATTAAAATTACATTATTCTATAAAGTATTTACATAATCAACATGAAATAGCATTGCAGTGTTTTAAATCACCTTTACATCAAACCACATGTACTTTGCCACATAAACCAAAGCATTCAATCAAAACATTCTATTGAAACCATGTATTTTCTAAATACCAGGTACAATGTTTGATCTAAAGGACACATAAGCTATGACTTCGGAGCATTTAATTTCATTGTGAACAATACAAAACAAAAATATATATACCTAATCCCTATAATCCACCTATTAACCATTATCCTAAAATAACACTGTCAACATCACTTATTTCCCTGATACACTTAGCCTAGACAGCACCTTAAAGTTGCAAATAGTTGAAAACTTCATAAGTTAATCCCAGATATGGTTGGTTCACACAACCTAACCGTGTTGAGATTGGCCAACTTCCCCAAACCAATGATATAGCAAGTAGAGATGTAGGTTAGTATAAACTGTCTACAGACTTGCCCTGTCCCTGGGAAATCTATGTTTTGTTCACCATTGTTGTACATATTTGTTAGCTACCTGTATGAGGTTTATGTAAATATATCTGTATATTGTACAAGTGTTCTGTTCCACCTGGCCAAGCTAACCCCCAGAACATGATAATACATCAACGAACAGCCTATCTGACAAAATGCTCAATTTCAGCAAACCAGTTACCAACACCAAACAACAAACATGGAGTAGATATATTATTCACAGTCCACATACCAGCAGCTATAACATGGATGAGTCTGTCATTGAACAACCAACAAATTCTGTGTAGTGGACAAAGTGAATTATATTTACTGTTGATCTCAACAGTTTCAAAGCAGATCAAATTCATCATCTTCATCATCAGAGCTAGAAATATCTTCCGCTCTCAAAAGTGTCTTGAAATCGTCTGGTGTAATGGCCTTGATGGCATAGGGAAGCTCCAACCATTTCTTGTAGTACTGTGGTTGTTTTGTGTGCTCATTTATAACGATGAAGTACTTGATCCCCAGGGAGGGAAAAACCACACCCTGGTAGATGAACTTCACCCCCCATGGCTTGTGGCAGTTCCGACATTGCATGCTGCCTGTCATTGTTATTCCATCAAATGGTTTCTTCTGGTCCCTAAACTGATGGGTGTTGATTCGATCTTCAAAGGCATGTTCAATGACAACATGTTGGTTCCCATTAATAATCCTGAGATCTTTACTGTGCGCACACAGCTTTCTGCAGCAAGCGCACATCAGTGTGAATTTTACATCCAGCTTCTGTCTGGTCTGGTGGCGTCGAACCTCCTCTTTTATTGCCTCTTTGGCAAGAGTTTCAGCCTGAATATTGCAGATCCGCTTTTGGACTCGATCATTTGGCATTCCTCTGATGGCAGTAATGGCCCGTTGCATCATGCTTGCCCGAGCAGTGTTCAGCATCTCCTTCTGCTGGACCTTGCTGCTACCCAGTAGAACAGAGGTGCCTCCTGCCTTCCTGCTTCGTCCTGAACACAGAATGAAGGTAAATGGATCAAATTTGATGTGCATCTAAATCTATTTTTTCAAATTGTCAACTATGCAGCTGCAAATACTTCCCAATAATGTCTGAAAGCATACATATGTGATGTTAAATTGTGGGATTTCAACCAGTAATATTCTGTATGATTGCTGTCTGTAAATATCAAGTTGGACTAGACAAACCAGGGGGTGACAGTTTTGTCAGTGTCCCACATCACTCAGGTAGAATGGCACACAAACACTCAGGTCACTGATCCTTTTTATTACTCTCACTCTGGGGCTAGAATAAGTAAATACTCATATATCCAGCTGATATCATTAATCAGGGTTTCCTTTGTCTTCGTAATTATGTGTTGATGTAACATTGTTGCACAACCTATAACACTGCCTCATAATATCATACATAAAATACTCAACTGACTATATTAATCAGGGCTTCTTTTGACTTTGTCACATATTCAGCTGACTTTATTAATCAGGGCTTCCTTTGTCCTTTCTTTAACCTTCGTCATAAAACAGGGTTTCCTTTGCCTTCACAAAGGGAAACACCTGCTATGATAGAATTAATTAGATTAATAGAACTTGCTTGATTCTCAACTTTAAAACAAATAATCTGTTCTTAATTTATTCTCGCCTCACCTCGGGTCTGGAGAGTTGTGATTTCATTGCCAACATGGTTGTACTTCAGGACAATGTTGCATTCTGGGATATCCAGTCCTTCCTCTGCCACTGATGTGGCGACAATCAACTTGACTTGACCACTCTTGAACTTGGCAATCACTTTGTCTTGTTCATTCTGTGTCATGCCTTAACATATAAGTTAAAAACAATTACAGGAAATAGTAAAGGTATTAATTAACAAAATCTCTTATAGATGAAGTAAATCGTTCCAAGAGTTTATCATATAACTTCTTTTGGATGGTAAATATCTTGCCTGCACTTGAAGTGAGTGTGTTTAGTTTTACCCGCCCTCAGCAATATTCCAGCTATATGGCAGCAGTCTGTAAATAATCAAGTTTGGACCAGACAATCCAGTGATCAACAGTATGAGCATCGATTTACGTAATTGGGATACAATGACATGTGTCAACCAAGTCAGTGAGCCTGAACCTCCGATTCCGTTAGTCGCCTCTTACGACAAGTATGGGTTACTGAAGGTCAATTCTAAGCCAGATCTTCACGGGTCCTATAGGCAAACGAATTCAGTGTGAAACCAACAAACAACAAAGAACATGGGCAATCTTTCTAAATTTATCTGCCCTTCAATAACCTGCTAGGTGCACAGACTGACAACCCTTGTGGTATGCACAATACGAGTGGTATGTGTTAGTGTCATACCTACCGACAGTCAACCAGTGAAGCCATCACCTTTATTGATAACTGTCACCATGGTACAGTGAAACCTGTCTAAACCGGCATCCCACGGGTACGAAATAGGTGCCGGATTAGACAGTGATTATCATTTTCCAACATGGCTGCCATTTTCACTAGTCAGTCTTGCAATATATCATCCCGAGAGGAGTGCGAGAGAAGCCTATTGGATTAAGGGACCTGGATTGGACTGCTCATACCCATGCGGGCTGAGAGCGTTTGATTCACCGTTGCATCACTACTTCCTGATTATCTACCGTGCCAAGAGGATTAATTAGTGAATTGGATTATGGGTCCTTGATTGGACTGCTCATACCCATGCCAGTTTAGACAGTGTTAATTACAGTTAAAATTGCTTGTTGGGACCGGAAAGTTGTTGCCTGAATACGGAATTGACAGGTGCCGGATTAGACAATGTTTTAATGATCAGAATATCTTTATAAAATGGTGGGACCACAATTTTATACCGGTTTTGACCGGATTGTGTGCCGGATTAGACAGGTGCCAGTGTTGGCAAGTTTCACTGTATATGGAGAGTAAACAATGATATATCTACTGTCATACATGTTGCATGATTCCATGACATATCAGTGATAACCCTAACACATATGTTGTAAGAGTAAACCATTTGACAGCCATTCAAAATAAGGTGGTGGCATCAGTTGATCATTCATGCCAGGCTGATTTGTTTATGTTTTCCAGTCAGTAAATTTTGCCCTCGATGTTTTAATATCACACTTACAAGCATGAACTATATTTCAATTGTATACATACTCATATAACTGTTGTATTATTTCCAATTTGTCTATATTCATGCAAAATTCAACAGAGAGGCAGTAAAACATTTAAAGGCAGCTTACAATTACATTGGCATTATTCAATATAACAGCAGCGGAAAAAGCAATAAAGTCAGTGATAATAAGATTCATCCAGCGTCAATAGTGGTCAAGGTTACAAAAAACACAGGCTCTACTTCTAGGGTGAAAGTATGACCTCCACACAACCACTGCTCTTGATGTAATGGAGCTGATACAGGCATGTGCTTGCACCCTGATACAGTTTAACAACCTTCCAGAATGTTGCCTACTATGCAGGATTAGCCAGGCTGATCCAGAAGTGTCCAGATTAGTGTGTGACATTGCTCATGCTGTCCAACACTGGTTTATCTGGTCAAGGTGGATGAACACCAGTTACCACCTCAAGGGTGAAAGTACAATGTAAAAACAGGGATACTGTGCTCCCGGTACGTTGGAGAACCAGCATGGTTTGTATCTCATGAAGCCCACCAGTCTGCCTGGTCCAGGCTCGATGACTCACCACCATGAAACACCAGACTCACAATCTGAAGTGTTGTCAAAATCATAGCAAAAGACCTTTCTGGTAAAATATCACATATCAACATAACATGAATTTACCTAATCTAGCTTTCAGTAACTGAAACATACTCTCATGAAATCAGTAGGGCTGCAACGATTCACCTAGACCTCGATTCGATTCGATTTTCAATATTGGCCCCTCCATTTGATTCTTCATATAAGTAGAACATCAGATTTCATTTAACTCTCAGAGTACAAGTGAGTAGGCTTTTTTAGCGTGAAATCCATCGTCAACTTGGCGATGTCTACTAACGGCAATGCTCATTGGATAATTAGCCCGGTGTCAACTAATCACTTTTTGCCTTATTTCAAGCGATCGAAACTGCTCAAGTTGGATTAAAAATTACGCTCTCACTGTGTGGAAATAATATAAACAGATATTGAAAATTTTAACTATAAATTGTATATTTATATACTTATCCTATCTCACGACTTGCACCTCTCTCTTCATTCGACCATGAGTGGAAACGAATTAAAACTTTGCTCCAAGGCCTACCTTGCCCCTCTCCCGTGCTGTGCGTGCCTTCCGTGTCAGTCGTGCTCACTAGTCCATGACAGCACGAGGCATGCGCAGTCCTCACCCACGTGATCACCTCACATACTCATTCTCGATCTTGGAGCCATAAAAGGACAAAACCGGAACGGTGGTAATCTATGTAGTGGGGAGGTAGGGAGCGACTTTATCGCGTGAGATAGGATAAGTATATAAATATACAATTTATAGTTAAAATTTTCAAATTTTAAACTTATCCTATCTCACGACTTGCACTTATCCCACGGTAGGAAGGTGGGTCATAGATTACCCGAAATTCAAGCGATAACAGCTAAGTGTTATGCCCAAACAACCGTGAGGAAGCAACTACAAGGTAGGCCAATAACTACCAAGTTACTACGCGCGAGGGTTAGTTCGAACATTGATGACTTACTAAGCACAATTGTTCCCAGGGACCGGATTCCCGAGCAATGTGGTGTTCAGTCACTACCTTCACAAAGTGAAAGGACGAGCTTAACGAGTGTAATCAGTCGCATCGCCACGATTTCCAAGGTACCCCGTAATAAAAGTCTAACGACTAGTATCGGGCCAGCCCCTGCTTCAAACAACCCCCACAGACACCGCCCGAGGAGGGTGAAAGAGAAATTGAATCGGTAAAACTCACAATTTTAACGCTCAGTACCACAACATCATCTTATTACTTCCATTACTTACCACAATAAGATCACATAGATGTGTATAGGCACTTAGGAGCATGAACGCCACTGGCGTAACACTGGAAGGACTCACTTCACTGACTTAATTACTCCGTGAAGCAGAGGACAGTAAGTGAGGTGGCTTACTCTCTGTAGTCTCAAACAAATGAGAGGAGAAATCTAAATCCCGAAGACGTAAATCAGAAAAGTTTTTCAGATTTATTCAGATTGTACACAAGCAGAAACGATCAGCGACTTGGGATCAACTGCACAGTGGGATCCATATAGCATCGAGCACAAGGAAGTTCATTATCTGCGATGTTGTGCCGCTGATAACTGCTGGGCAAGGACGAAAGTGGTCCAAACTGATGAAGGCCTTGAATACCCGTCACCGACACATCTCTGAGGTAATGAGACGAAAAGACTGTGTCAGATCGCCAAAACAACCCTCCATAATGGCAGTTAACGAGCAGTTGCTATGCAACGCCATAGTAGAAGCCAAAGCCCTGGTTTCATGAGGGTTGACTGCGTCGAGGTGGTGGCAAACCGCAAAAGTGTAGGCTCGTAGTATTGTAGCTCAGAGCCAATATGAGAGTGTTGTGCGAGACTTCTGCCTTGGAAGCAGTAGACAAGGGTATAAACAGTCTCTTACGCGAGACGGGCGGCGCTCTTCGCGATGCTTTAGGTAACGCCACTTAAGTGTAACACTTCGAATGACTCACTTCACTGACGAATTACTCCGCGGAGCAGGGGACAGTAAGTGAGGTGGCTTACTCTCCAGCGCCTCAAAAGCAAGACCCGCGATGGTCAGTTCGAACCCATTGACTTACTAACCACAAGTGCTCCAGGGACCGGATTCCCGAGCAATGTGGTGTTCAGTCACTACCTTCATGCAAGTGAAAGGACGAGCTTAACGAGTGTAAACAGTCGCGATTACCACGATTTCCAAGGTCTGACGACCAGTATCGGGCCATCCCCTGCTTTCGACAATAACCCCACAGACACCGTCCCCGTGGAGGGTGAAAGGGTAATTGAATCGAAACTCACAAGTCCCAGAAGAATCGAAGACACAAATCAGAAATAAAATTCAGAATTTTATTCAGATTGTACACAAAGCAGAAATGATCGCGAACTGGTGATCATCTGCGCTGAAAGCTGATGGTTGTCCCGAAGTGCCGAACAGGCGATAATGACAATGCTGAATTCCAATTCATTGTGATGAAGGGCCCTTTCTCCTGATGACCACTGCTAGGCCACTTGATGGAGAAAGTGTTTCCATCTTGCAAGATGTGCCAACGAATAGCTGTTGAGTCGGTATGAAGGGCACCCTTGAGACTCCAACACAAACATTCCACTTGTTGAGCCACCAACAAAAGACTGAATGTAGTTGTGCGGAAGACTAATCAACTCCCTGGGGTTGTCGCCCCTGATGTATGGGCACAGAACCATCTGAAGAGGGCAAGCTGCAGCTGGCCCCTGTAAGTCAGCACTTGTGCCGACGCCAACCACCCTAGTAACTTCTGCCACTGGCTTAAAAGGTGTGGGTTGGACCAACACTAGTGGTGCGTTGCACTGAATCTTGTCCCACCTCTCCTGGGGCACAAACATCATGACCTGGCGTAGTTGAATATTGTCCCAATAAGAAGAAACAGCTGGTCGGTGTTACCCCTGATTGTTCGAATTTAGTCGCCATCCCTAATTGGCGTTAGCAACTTGATGATGAACTGTCTGTGGAAGGAAGGACGACTGGATCCTGCTGGGCTTAAACACAGTCGCCGATATTGTTGTCAATTGTCACGCTTCGCGACAATGCAGGTAGATTGTTATCAGAATGGGTATCTGAGTAAAAACACGGGCCGCGATATGCCCATACAGCAGGATCCTCCATTGGTATCAATGACGCCCCATAAAGTAAATCAAGATACTTCCGATAGTCTGGATGTATCCGATGTGAAGGTAGGCGTCTCACAGGTCGAGGGACTGACTGACTGACGGAGTCTAGTTTTACACCGCCTTTGGCAGTAATCCAGCAAAATCACGGCAGGGGGGCACCAGAAATGGGCTTAACACATTGTGCCCATGTGGGGATCGAACCGGGGTCTTGGGCGTGACGAGTCAACGCTTTAACCACTAGGCTACCCCACGGCCATCGCAGGTCGAGGGAAATGAGAGGTCTAACCACTCTTGCCTCTGACAAAAATATATCTCCTGATATAAGAACGTTCAATAAGTCGAGCAACTACGTCAGTTCTGACGGAGTGCTCAATGTAGTATGTTCGGCGCATGGAGATTGTCAGTCAATCTACATTATAAACAAATTGTAGAAATTCGGAGGATCGGTGACCTCAGGAACGTTTCTTTTGGCCGAACAAAATAATGGTGCGCCAGGTGGAGTGATATAGGTAGTAGATCGCTGCCTGGTGACAGTCCTTGCATAATGCAGTGACCTCTGAACTCAGTGCTTGACTAGTCAAACCGTTCACGGGTGTTTCTGTCCGTCACCATCAATAAGCAGTCTCTCTCGACTGGCTGTCAAAATCCCGACACAGTCACTCTTACCGGGAATGACAGCGTCCGTTGTTACTTGCATTTAAAGGCTGGACTTGGTATCCGATTTGTGGGACCAAGAGAATTCTGCAAGGGCATTTCATAGTCACTCTAATCATCAAAATTCCGGTAAACAAACAGTAGTCCGCCATTTGCAAACGCTACAGACGAAAGTGACAAAATATAACGGACAACATGGTCTTTGGTTAACCGGGCGAGTCGCAACCCATAAATTCCGGGCTGAGCTATGCTGGCTATTTGACAAAACATTGCTGGAACCATGCGCAAGAACTTCACCCATTTGTTATCTGTCCAGAAACTTGCTTATCAGGTAAAACAAAGGGAGCTGAAGATGACGAGCCGTCTGCAACAATTGCACCCAGTGATACACAAACACGCTGTTACCAGTAGTCTGTAGTAACAAGACTCATCGGAGCGTCAGAGAGTATTCCTGGCTAGCAAGTTTATCTAGTTATGCCATATCGGTGGTTGCAGAACTGATATCTACACCGAAGGGTAGAATCGTTGAACCGAATCACTCATCAAAAGTGAAGATCGGATGGTAGATTAAATATGGAATGAGATGAGCCCCGGTCACGGAGGACTCTTGAGAACTGGGATCGCCAGGCCGTCAAGTGCCGAAAGTGATATCTCTAGATGACCGCGCTACTAACATCACATGTAAATCAAATCGGCATGGTGAAGCACATAGCTACTACCTCTGTACATTGATCTTGAACGGCCAGGGGAACTGGTTCGACGATAGGGAGCCTTCGACCTGGTGAAACGGTACGAGCCGCTGGTAAATCAGTTCAGGGTGGTGAGCCCGTGAAGTTGACGCGGATCTGAATCAGTCCGATGTGATCTGAATCGTGACTGATCTGGATCGGTTCGGTAATCCGAAACGGTTAAATGATCTGAGCTGATGGAGAGATCTAGAACGCCAGATGAACCGGTGAGGCGAAGTGAAATGTTCCGCCGAGGTGAATCGCTTCGGTGCTGTGAATTGAATTGATGATGTCAACTGTTTCGCGATAAGAAACAGTGTTAATATTATGGCTTAACTGAGTCAATGTCGATTCACATACCGCATGGCTTAAACGGTTCTGTCTGGTGAATCCATTCGTGTATGGCGAACCGATTCGGTGTGGTGAATCGGTTCGGCGATTGGACTGTTCGGTCTGGTGAATCCATTTGGTATGGCAAACCGATTCGGTGTGGTGAATCGGTTCGGCAATTTGACGGTACGGTCTGGTGAAACCATTCGGTATGGCGAGCCGATTGGGTGTGGTGAATCCATTCGGTATGGCGAACCGATTGGGTGTGGTGAATCCATTCGGTATGGCGAACCGATTGGGTGTGGTGAATCCATTCGGTATGGCGAACCGATTGGGTGTGGTGAATCCATTCGGTATGGCGAAACGGTTCGGTCTGGTGAATCCATTCGGTATGGCGAACCTATTCGGTGTGGTGAATCGGTTCGGCGATTTGACGATGTAGATCGGATGTGTGAGTCAACTGGCAACACAGAGCGTTTTGATGAGGCGGAACCACGAGAAGACAGTTAATGATGCGTCCATAAAATTATCACCGTCCGACATGGGAATCTGCGGACGACGAAAGCAGTTAATACCTGTCGCTAAAATCGGGGTTTGTCGGGTGATCAACTGTTGAAGTGTAACGAGCTCTGTGTGCCAGCCATCGAGCAAGCATGTCTACATGCTCTAAAAACGCCCTAATAAGGGAGCACATTCTACAACGCTTGCTCCAGGAACATGACGATTGGGGATCCGAGGAAGTAAATATTGTTACAGTGTGCGTAAAATTACGCTACTGAGTCTAGACTGACAAGACGGGATATCCTGATTCACCTGAAGTGAATGAGACCAACTACGAGAATCACTCTGACGAAAACACACCGTGACGGCTAGGTGAACCGGATCGAAATGGCATGTAACCACTTCGACTAGGTGAGACTGAACGACTCACGGAATCAAAAACGCTGTGGTGAGTCGAACGAAGCAACATATTGAGGTGAGTTGAGTCGGAATGTGAACGGTTCGGCCCTGGTGAACCTATTTGAGTACGTGAAACAGTACGGCCAGAGGAACCTATTCGACTACGTGAATCAGTTTGATCAACTGAACTCATTCGAGGATGTTGTGGTGAGCCGGCTCGGCCGTGTGAGCCGGTTCGGCAGGTTCGACTTCGAAAATCACTCTGACAAAACACACCGTACGGCTAGGTGAACCGGATCGAAATGGCCAACCACCTCGACCAGGCGAGACTGAACGACTACGGGAATCAAAACGCTGATGGTGTGTTGAACTGAAACCTATGTTGAGGTGAACTGAGTCGGGAATGTGAACCCGTTCGTCCTGGTGAACCCCTTCGATCACGTGAATCAGTTCGGTCAGGTGAACCCATTTGATTACGTGAATCAGTTCGGTCAGGTGAACCCATTCGAAGAAGTACTGGTGAGCCGGTTCGGCGGGTTGAGTCGGCTCGAAAGTGAATGAGACCTAGAACCACTCCTCCCAGCCGTGGAAATAGGAGAGCGGGTAACGCCCTCCCGCTAGCGCCGATCCCCGCCGGACGATGAATGCTTAGAAGTTCTCGAAGTCTGTGATCGCTCCGAAGAAGCAGACCTACGAGATAATGTAGATCGCAGGTCTGGCGTAGAAGAAATATCGGTCATTACCACCCTGGTACGCTCAAGAGAACTTAAACTGGGTGAGGGAAGCTCCCCTAAAGCCTTCTAACGTTCTAAGATAAATAGGAATCCGACGAAGCGTCCATAAAATCTTCGTCAGGAGAGACGGGCGATTGAGAACGGTGAGCAGTGAGGGTGTAGCGATCTAAGCATTGTTTCTTGGCGGGAGATGGACTAGACCCCACAGAATTAGTCCTAGCCCTATCTGCCAAACATCTGGCACAAGCACGTTTGTAAAATTGTAAACGCCTCATTAGACAGACCTGAACACTTCGGACAGCGTGTCCCAGTCACAAACACCCACACAATCAACACACGATGTGTGTGGGTCCCATGCTGAAAATACTTTATTACAACGGGCGTAAAACATCCGTTTACTGGCCTGAACAGGCTTAACCATTTTGAGCAAATCTCAGACGAAAAATTTTTCACGTCCACTCAGTGGAGCGACAAGAAAGAGAATGAGTATGTGAGGTGATCACGTGGGTGAGGACTGCGCATGCCTCGTGCTGTCATGGACTAGTGAGCACGACTGACACAGAAGGCACGCACAGCACGGGAGAGGGGCAAGGTAGGCCTTGGAGCAAAGTTTTAATTCGTTTCCACTCATGGTCGAATGAAGAGAGAGGTGCAAGTCGTGAGATAGGATAAGTTTGAAAATTTCAAATATCAAATCGAAATAGTGATAACGGTTATCGAAAATCAAAACTAACATGTCAGATTCGATTTTCGCTGAATAGAATTGAATCGTTGCAGCACAAGAAATCAGGCATTCAAAGGCAAAATGAGGATAAACTTAGAAAACATATTGAGTATATAACTAGAGGTCAAAATTTGACATGCGATGGTCAAACATATTTGAAATATTTTACCTCCTTCCTCCTCGTTTGCTCCAGCTCCGGTGAAGGCCATGGCTTTAAGATCTTTCAGCTGGGGGTCAATCCTTTCGTCTTCATTGAGCCAGTTGGTCAGAGCGTAGCAGGTGGCCCGGGTTCTCACAAATATGATGGCTCTGGAGTCACTGCCTTTTGCCTCCAGCAGATCTGTCAGTGTTTTGGCTAACACTTTCAAATTGGGGTTGTCAAACTTGGGGTCATCTTTCCTTTTTTGTTCATAACGGATCAGTTTCTTTTTCAAACCTTCAACATAAAGATATGATTTCCAGGTGTTATTAGCACATACTGCATCATGGCACTTTGTTGATGATGCAGTACTTGGGTAAAGCTGGAAGAATGTATTCCAGGTTTGATATGAGGAAAACAAAGTGGTAACATTCATGTTATTTTAAGAGAATCCCTTACAAAACCATGCTGACTAAGGTTTTTTAGGAACCAACCTAATATATACTCAGCAGCAAAAAAACGTCAGTATGAATTCAAAATTAGCTAGGCACTGTAATCAAATCATTACAGAAATGGACATAATAAGCGGATCCAAAACATTTTTTGTGTACAATATCTTGACACATCAATGAATAACTCACAATTTCAAGACATTACATGAACGTTTGCAGTCCATTCAGACTCTTGACTTCAGTATCTAGTGTGACCACCATGAGCTGCAATGACTGCAGCACAGTGTCTATGCATGGAGTGCACCAATCGATTGAGGAAGGCTACTGGCACCTGGAACCACACTTTGAAAAAGGCCTGGCGCAATAAATCGGCTGTGTTTGGCCTTGGTATGACATTATTCAGTCTCCTCTGAATTTTATCCCAAAGATGTTCAGTTGGGTTTAAATCAGGACTAAGGGCTGGCCACTGCATAATGTTGACACCGTTGTGCTGTAGGAAAACCCGTGTAGCTCTGGCAGTATGGGCCCCGGCGTCATCATGCCCGAAAATGTTGTTCCGGTGATGTGTGAAATGTGGTTTGACGTGGGGTCTGAGAGCTTGGTCGATGTAGCGCACCGCTGTGATGCCGCCTCCCAACCTGGACCAAGGTTCTGGAACACCACAGGACCCACTCTCTGCTTCATGCCTATTCCACCCCTTACCATGATGCTTGCACCTCCCCATGAGTCTCTTTCCATAACACATTAGTCTGAGTGACGCTGGCCACGTTGATACGCAGTACCGACTCTCATCAGTGAACAGAACAGTTCTCCATTGCCTGTATCACCAGTTAGGGTGTTGTAGGGGAAACTTTAGACGTTCACGCCAATGACGAGGGGTGAGGATAGGTCCACGGTAAGGTCTACGGCAATGGAGGTTCCCGCTGTTAAGACGTCAGCGTACTGTATCAGTACTGATTAGTCTTCCGTGTGTTCCCACTGTCTGGTGTGCTGTTTCGGAAGCTTGCATGAAGGAATTCTGTACATCCTGTTGCACAACATACTTGTCGTCTTGTGGTCACCCTTGGTCTGCCAGTACGGGGGCAATCACTTGTGGTGTTGGTGGGCCGGAAATGTTGCTGCAGCCTGTAGATGGTGCGAACGTTGACCTGGAAGTGATTGGCAATGGCTTGTGCAGTGGGGCCAGCTTCAAGTCTTCCTAGAGCCTGGTTCCTCTGAGCTGTTGTGAGTCGCAGCATCCTGCTGACATTGTGAATGTTTTAACCAGGTTTGGGATTGCATTTTATAGGGCCGGTCCTTGTGAACAGCACGTGCAGCGTGAGTTGCATGAAAAACATGGAGAACACTGTACCATCTCCGAGATCAGGTTGCATGTTTTAGACCATTTCCTTGGTTCCATTCTGAGTTTGGGAAGGAATGTCGTTGCTCGGGTACATTTGGAGATGTTGTAAAAAATATACAAAGAAAACATTAAATGAGTTTACAGTTATCCGTTTCAGGGACGGAAAATTCCATACTGACGTTTCTTTTGCCGCTTAGTATATATTTCAGTACAGTTGGTCATCTGAAATACATATATGTTATGATACAAATACAGTGAGAAGTTAAGTGTTGAGTTTACCATCATGGTACACAGGGAGGTCAAAGGATCAGCATTTCTGCAATATAAGCAGTCTTACCACTGAAGATCTCATCCAGCTTTTCTTCACAAGGTACATGCACACTGCCACCCCCCAGGTAACTGGTTGCTATAGCAACCATGGCTGAATTCCTTCTGTAGGTAATCCACCACATCCTTGATCCTTACAATATCATGGATTTCTAGAGCTGCATTGTATTTCTGAAAAGCAAATAATATTCACGGATTATGACTGATTTCTCTTGAGAAGGTTCACACTGAGTGAGGCAGGTGCAAAATACAAGTGTGGATAGGTGAGACAGCTGCAATATACAAGTGTGGACAGGTGAGACAGCTGCAATATACAAGTGTGGATGGGTGAGACAGCTGAAATATACAAGTGTCGATGGATGAGACAGGTGCAATATACAAGTGTGGACAGGTGATACAGCTGCAATATACAAGTGTGAATAGGTGAGACAGCTGCAATATACAAGTGTGGATAGGTGAGACAGGTGCAACATACAAGTGTGGATGGGTGAGACAGCTGCAATATACAAGTGTGGATGGGTAAGACAGCTGCAATATACAAGAGTGGTTGGGTGAGACAACTGCAATATACATGTGCGGATAGGTTGTACTACATTGATTAGGGAGAGAGCAGCAGGCTTAGGGAAATTTTTAATCCAGAACCAACTCTTAGAATTGTTCGGATAATTAGATGCCATATCATGTAATGTTAAAAGTACATGCGAACCTACTTAAACATATAACAATACATGTATGTGAAACTGAGTGAGTGAGTGAATGCTGTTTAACACCTCCCTGTCTCACTGCCTGTAAGTGAAGCTAAGTAAGTAAGAGCTTTTTAATACCTCCCTGTCTCACTGCCTGTAAGTGGAACTGAGTGAGCGAGTGAATGCTGTTTAACACCTCCCTGTCTCACTACCTGTAAGTGAAGCTAAGTAAGTAAGAGCTTTTTAATACCTCCCTGTCTCACTGCCTGTAAGTGAAACTGAGTAAGTAAGTGGAAGCTTTTTAATACCTCCCTGTCTCACTACCTGTAAGTGAAACTGAGTGAGTGAGTGAATGCTGTTTAACACCTCCCTGTCTCACTGCCTGTAAGTGAAGCTAAGTAAGTAAGAGCTTTTTAATACCTCCCTGTCTCACTGCCTGTAAGTGAAGCTGAGTAAGTAAGTGGAAGCTTTTTAATACCTCCCTGTCTCACTACCTGTAAGTGAAACTGAGTGAGCGAGTGAATGCTGTTTAACACCTCCCTGTCTCACTGCCTGTAAGTGAAGCTAAGTAAGTAAGAGCTTTTTAATACCTCCCTGTCTCACTGCCTGTAAGTGAAACTGAGTGAGCGAGTGAATGCTGTTTAACACCTCCAAGTCTCACTGCCTGTAAGTGAAGCTAAGTAAGTAAGAGCTTTTTAATACCTCCCTGTCTCACTACCTGTAAGTGAAACTGAGTGAGCGAGTGAATGCTGTTTAATACCTCCCTGTCTCACTGCCTGTAAGTAAAGCTGAGTTAGTAAGTGGAAGCTGTTTAATACCTCCCTGTCTCACTGCCTGTAAGTGAAACTGGGTGAGCGAGTGAACGCTGTTGAATACCTTAATATTTTCTGCTACTTACAAAGATATGGTCTGCCATGACAAATATGCTCCTGGCCATTTCAGCTCTCTTTGGGTCAACATCTACAGAAAACAGGCCATCTCTGCGGCCAGTCTGAACAAGTCTTGACTCATTCTTCATCTGGACAGCCCACTGGCCGTATGGCTGGCTGTTCCGGTTGCTGGGACGCTTCATTAGCAGGTTGTCAATTGCTTTATCATTGAGATCTGCAGGATGAACCTAATGTCTTAAAGGTTTGTTTACTAAATGTTTTCTCCTACACAAATGTAAGCTGCAACCTCAGCCACTGGTGGAAATTGCCTGTTTCAAAATATAGTTTGGCACACAAAACTAATGAAAATTGACATATTATCAATTAAAATAATGTTAAGTGATAGGTTTGGGACAGTAGGATGAAAATATTTTGGTACAAACCGTAGATGTGAAATATATTTCAAATGATCATTTTTTTAAGATAACGTTCCGGTCCATATTTTGTTCACAACCAATTCATAAATTTATGAAGCATCAAAATCAACAAGACAGTGTCCTAACATTTATTGTTGAAAGCCAAAACTACAGGGGGTCCCTAGAATCAGTTTTTAAAGCAGCAAACTTGAAGGACAACTATAACTTTCCTTGATTTCAGTGAAATTAAAATTGCCAGCAAGTGCAATCATTCAATATTCTGTTGAGAACAATGGCTCATTTTGGACTAGCATTTTATGTAACACAGATAGTTTTTAGATTTATTAACTCATCTCCAGTCAGTTACTCAGCCTAACCTTGTCTAAAAATATGTTTAAAATAGGTGATGGTTTGTGCACAGCAAAAATAATGACAAAGATTGTAAGGAAATAGTAAATGACAAAAGGGAGTGAGTGAGTTTAGTTTTCCGCCGCACTCAGCAATATTCAAGCCATATGGCGGCAGTCTGTACATAGTCGAGTCTGGACCAGACAATCCAGTGATCAACAACATGAGCATCAATTTGCGTAATTGGGACCCATGACATGTGTCGGGAAAGCATCGTCACATTTTTAAGGTTGGTTGGTTGGTTTGTTGATTAACGCCCCACTCAGCAATATTCCAGCTATATGGAGTCGGTTTGTAAATAACTGAGTCTGGACCAGACAATCCAGTGATCAGCATCATGAGCATCAATCTACGCAACTGGGATAACATGTGTCAACCAAGTCAGCGAGCCTGACTACCCGATCCCGTTAGTCAACTCTTACGACAAGTTACTGAAGGTCAATATTCTAACCCTGACCTTCACGGGTAAAATGACAAAAGCGAACACTGAATTCCATAATTGGAGAATTATTACGTTTGAAGCCCATGAAGGCTCTTCTGTAACTGTCAAGGTTCCAACACAATCACTGACATTTTTTAAATATTTGTTAGAATGATGCATTCACAAACTGGATCAGAGGCCCAGATAAGCTGCGTATCCGGGTAAAATACGCATAGAAAATTTCCAATTACGCATTGAAAAATAATTGTTGTGTACCATTTACGCATTTAAAATGTTAGATAATCAAAAAAATTTAAAACAAATGCGTACGGAATATAAAAAGACATCGATTGCTATCAAGTTGTACTGTTAGTATAGGACTAGTGTTGTACTGTCAGTATAGGATGAGTGATGTTTTTATGAAATCATTTCCATTATATTTAAGTTGGTTTTGATTAGGTATGACATAAGGCAGAACATACCTGCTTAGTAAACTTACTCAATGACATAATACTTAGGTGAGTAAAATGACTGAAATACGTGAAATATGTGAAATACGCATATATTTGAAAGCGGTGGGTAACAGAAAAAGAAATACCCACTCCAAATTCATAATACACACTCCAAAAAAATACAGTGGGTACAGTACCCACATGAGCTAAATCTTATCTGGAGCTCTGTGGATTTAACTTATTGTGTCTACCAGCCAAACATCAACCCCCCAAATTGCAAACCCTTCCTCCCAGTTTTGCATGTATGCACGTGTGTTGGGTTAAACATTGTTTCCATTAGTATTCCAGCTTTATCACAGCCTGACAGTTTAATGTTCGAAGAAAGCCTTGAGCACAGGTTTGTCGATGATAAACCTAGAAATATAATCAAATCAAACTGGGATCCGAACACACAATCATAGAAACAATAGTTCTAAGAATGCTACCTGTATTCTATCTTTGCTATAATAACTCTATTTTGGCTCAATCACGCAAAACTAATCTTTTAATTTACAACAGAAGTTCTCTACACCGTCAGCTACACATGACCAGTTCTCAAGATAAAAAGACCCTGTTAATTAGCATCCACCTCTGCAGCTTGCCAGGCTTGAAACCATTAATGTTTTGAAGTACCGGTAACTTCTGTTGCAGGTTTGAAATGACATCACTGATGTCATCACTTCCGGTTCTGATGTCACTTCTGTGGGTATAGGGCCATGTCCCTGGTATTGTAATCATCTCCCTTGGATGAACTATCTCAGTGATTGTCATGAAGAGGTTAATAATCAAGGCACTGTCAACAGGGAGCTGGATTTCCTTCCTAAGGTTTGTGAATGTAAGCTTGATGATGTTGTCTTTGGCTACAAGGACAGAGGAGGGAGAGAGTTGAGCTTCCCAGTCCCTGAAATAGTAGTAGGGTATTTCCTTCTTGGCAGTTTATGTGATGATTCTTCACAGAAGAGTCACAACCGCCCCCCCCTCCCCCCCCCTCCCCCCGAACCTTTAGGTTGCACATACAGCTCACCATCCCCTGTTGGATGTGCTTGAGTGTTGAGTTATGGGGAATGACCAGTCAACAGGAAACCATTGTTATCACGAACTCCAAAAGCCTACAAAGTTTAGTTCATTATAACCATTGTTTTATGCATTTAACAACAATATACAGGAAGTGGCCAGTACCTGACAAACAGTTTGTCATATCCATCCGTTCATTATAAGCATGTTCATTATAAACATTGTTTATTGTGTCTGGATAAGTGAGTCCAAGGGCTATGATCTCCATTGTTGATCCAACAGGGAGAAGTCCTATTATCTATGCCCCTCTGTAGGTCATATCTTGAAGGGATGAATTTTCTCTAATGGATGTAGGGGCAGAGACATCCAAGATGTAATTGGAATCTGGCAACAGTGTATACTGTGTCTTGTGTCGGATGGTGAGGATCAGCAGTCAGATGTAGTCTGATTCCAGTTCTGGACATAGGACAAGAAACATCCCTCCACAGGAACTTGAGTCAGTCTAATGTTAAAGTCAGTAGTCAAGATTAAAGGAATGGTTAGTTGTTGTGTCATAATCTATGTGCCCGGACCACTGGCTCTTGCATCTCTTCTGCTCTGTGAATGACGCTTACAGCTAGACTGGGGTGATGACTCCCCAGCCTATGAATTCTAACCCTACACCAAAAGACCTGAGGAGTCAGATGGCTGGTGGAAGCTATTGGGATAGCACAACTCATGAAACATCTTTCCTGTGTAGCAGTGTCTCAACATTCTCAGCAAATCAGAGATGGGTCCCTATAATCATGAAGTTCTCATGTAAATAACAGGATCTTGCCATCTTAGTAATAAAATGTACATATCAAATACCTGTACCTGTGAAAAAAACAGGACTCCTTATGTGTTGAATAAGTAGAATAATATCACTGAATAACTTTCAGTTATCTAGTGTGACTACATGACCTGAGTGCAACAGATTAATCTCAGTTGAAAAGCTAGTTGACTCTAGTACAAAGGGGAAAGCAGAGTTTTTCCCATGTTTACAAGATAAGCACTGGATACTAATATGTGGTAATATTACCTTGACAACTAGTCAAGTGTACTTGACACTATTGAGGACTTCTGTTGAAATTATTTTTGTGTAATTGCAGCCACAATAAATGAATTATGGCAAGGAGGTAGAGGATTTGTAACCCTGTAAGATACTACCCTGCACAGGGAATTTTGGTTTAGTAGGCCACTTATTCCCACTTTGATAGCTTTGGACAAAGTGTGACTTACCATTAGTTTCAATCATAAGGTCCTCTATCTTTTCCATGGCCTTCTCCAACTCTTTTCGTGCTGGGTCTTGTCGGTCCTCAGTCAACTGATAGGTCTCTGGTGTTAGAGACAAAATTCATGGTAAGCTACTGTTGTCTTAAGCTGTAGTGAGCAATAGTCCAGATTTATCATAGTGGCCTGTCAAAGATTCATGTCATCAGTGTATCACAAGAAAAAAAATCAGCAGAAAACATAAGGTACTAGGTACTATGCACATTCAGCCCACACATAACCACCAACCATCTGAGTTGAAGAAACCTCTTACTTTCATTGCCTGTTTTTAGTCTCACAAAAGCTCAAAATTTTGTATGGAGGTAATGGGTTGAAAGAAGAACCACATCAAAGGCATCAACAAGATCACCCTGAATCAACTTCATTGAGATACTGTAGTTGAATATTCACATAGTGAATGAAAAGTTTCGTTTTGTATCTTTGCAACATTGCACATCATCATGTTTTTACCCATGGTAGGTCTGTTGATGCTGATGTCTATCATTGTATGAGTGCTTGTGGAAAGGTTTATCTTGCACTCATAGGTCAGATAAGGTCATTGCTACATATCTCACTGATTATCTTGATAGACCTACTTTCATCTGGCACTGGGACCTTTTCTCTGAGTTCATCTATGTGTGTCTGTACTGTGGAGAGATAAGGGGCATCCATGTTGGCACATAGTTTCAGGATATTGTCAATGGCCTCCTCATCAACCGTCGCCTTCTCTACACCCAGTGAAGCTGTCAGGCCTACAATCTGAAAGCAACAGACAGACGATTTATTTGAAATCAGCAAACCATATTTATGTTTTATATATTTCACAGTTTTAACCTCTTTTCATCTCTCCCGGAGAGAAAGCGTAGTGGGTTTTTGTTTGGCATCTACAGCCTTGATACTGGTTGAATATTAATAGATGTGGTATGAAAAAGACTCTCACTTTCTTTCTTTCCATAACATGGAGGTCATTAGTGTAAATGATGATAATAACCTGAGGTAGACGTTTTGATTTCTGCTTGCTTTTCTGCTTGAGATATCTGAGCATGAGCTTGTTGTATGGCTCCCCTTTCCGTGTGTGATGGCACTCATCCAACACAATAAGGCTAAACACAGACAGTGACTTGATCTTGGCATCCTTCAGCTGGTTCTCCAGAATCTGTGGTGTCATCACAATGATGTCGTACAGGTCCAGTAACTGGTGGAGGTACATGCTGCTCTCATCCTCACCACTCAGCTTGAATATCTGGAAGAGAGGACACGTACTTTCATATAAGATGTTAATACTGTAGCACCAAAGAGTTCTAGAGTTCCAGGACACCCCCCCCCCCATAGACTACGGACACTGGAATTGATCACTCTTGGCATTTTAAACTTTGTGTGTATGTTTTTTGTGTAATTCCACACTACAGAATGGCAGTCATGACAAGACAATCCAGTAACTGCCATCAAACAAGTTAGCTGACCACTGCATCCTGTAAGTTGCCTCTAACGACATGTAGCACTAGCTGAAGATCAATTCATGGTTAAAATTGGAACCAGTTCTCAACACTAGATGTTACTCACCCTGTAGCCCTGACTAAGGAATCTTTGGAAGGTATTATACTGCTGATTTACCAAAGGAACAGTCCGTGCAAGGAACACTACCTTCTTCACCCCTGAAACAGTAACCACAGTTTAACATGTACACAATGAACACACCTTCTTTACCTCTAAATATGTTGCCATGTGTGCAGTGTTTACTAAGCAGGTCTTGTTATTGGAATATTTTGCCATGAGTGCAGTGTTTACTAAGCAGGTCTTGTTATCGGAATATGTTGCCATGTGTGCAGTGTTTACTAAGCAGGTCTTGTTATTGGAAGATGTTGCCATGTGTGCAGTGTTTACTAAGCAGGTCTTGTTATCGGAATATGTTGCCATGAGTGCAGTGTTTACTAAGCAGGTCTTGTTATTGGAATATGTTGCCATGAGTGCAGTGTTTACTAAGCAGGTCTTGTTATTGGAAGATGTTGCCATGTGTGCAGTGTTTACTAAGAAGGTCTTGTTATTGGAATATTGTTGCCATGTGTGCAGTGTTTACTAAGCAGGTCTTGTTATTGGAATATGTTGCCATGAGTGCAGTGTTTACTAAGCAGGTCTTGTTATTGGAATATGTTGCCATGAGTGCAGTGTTTACTAAGCAGATCTTGTTATTGGAATATGTTGCCATGTGTGCAGTGTTTACTAAGCAGGTCTTGTTATTGGAATATGTTGCCATGTTTGCAGTGTTTACTAAGAAGGTCTTGTTATTGGAATATGTTGCCATGAGTGCAGTGTTTACTAAGCAGGTCTTGTTATTGGAATATGTTGCCATGTGTGCAGTGTTTACTAAGCAGGTCTTGTTATTGGAATATGTTGCCATGAGTGCAGTGTTTACTAAGCAGGTCTTGTTATTGGAATATGCTGTCCTAGGTACAGTGTTTACTAAGCAGGTCTTGTTATCGGAATATGCTGTCCTAGGTACAGTGTTTACTAAGCAGGTCTAGTGTAAGAATAACTTTCCCACAACATTTGTTCTCCATTCCAAGGTTGTTTAAGATGTCCTTCAACTTGTTGTAGAGCTCTTACCATCAGTCTCTACTTCAGCTTGCTTTTCAAGGTGATCTTTGACAATGTAGAGTGCAACTCGAGTCTTGCCTGAACCAGTCGGGGCACAAATGATGGTGTTACGTTGTTTTACTGCATTCTCAGCCAGTTCTAACTGGTATCTGCGGAGGCTGAGATCAAGTAGATCTCCATTGGCTGTATCTGCAGAGCCTTTCTCTTCCTCTGTGGCAACAAAACTCACCTTGCTATAAAACATTCTCTTCTTGAGGGGTTCAACTTTTCATATCTACTAATCAGAATAATAATCCCATTTACAATGCAAATATTTAATTTCATTCACCAAGTGAATGCTATGAAGCTAGATTATTACTATCCCAGTCAATGGATAAGTGTGCATTCATTTTCATTCTCAGTTCCCTGCAGAGAATACAACCCAAGCAGAGTAGGAGTCACAAGAAGGTTAACGTCCTACTGGAAGCATGTACTGCTGCATGAGCAGAAGCATATTTCGGACAAATTCACCTGCCTTAAGAAGAGACAGCACATGTGCTACATGTGCTTCAATGTTGGGCAGGGCCAAAGCCCCAGTAACTCTTAAGAGTCAAAGTGCTCCCATTCAGCTCAACACACAAGATGGCATTATGTGCTGTAGAAACATGACACAACATCGTGATAAAAACAGCAGAACACAAACACATTTTTTACTGCAAAGGAAGGGATTGTGTTAACTCTACTGCAGTGCTACTGCTACTGTGCTTTAAGACTGCTTGATAGATTGGGTATGGATAGCAGCATAGATTGTGAAGGTTGTTACTTCATGCTAAACAGTAGTCTTTGCCTGACAGTGTCTTTGGTTCATCTTCTCTCACCTTTATCATCTTGATACTCTTCATCAGAGAACTCTGGGGTCATGCTGTCATGAGTTTGTGGCTGACTTGCAACATCTGAGGCAGGATCTAGCATACTCTGCAGGTTTTGCAACCGTTCCGCTCGTGACATCTCCACAGGGGTAACATCAATATCTTCAACGAAAATATTTAAATCACATTAACTTACACATGTTAATGTTGTCAGCACAGATAGAGTGAATATGTATTAGGTAAGTGGTTGCTATATGCCATTTTCTATAATATTCCAGCTATACCTTGATGACATGCAAACATTAGAAACTTCAGATGATGTCTTCTTCCTCGGAATCCCCTCGGGTGGCAAAACAAAAATAAATAACTTCGTAGCAAAACAATCACATGGCATTTCCAGTGTAATTCATGTATAATTTGAATACATTTTATTCCTAAGAATATATTCCCTTACATCTGACACAACAATGTCATAATCTACCTTTAGGACTAGTTTGAGAAACAGATGACATGAGGCTTCTTGCTCCAGTGGTTGTCGAGGAATCTATAAAGTACAAAGGAATAACTGTTTAAGAGTAGACAAAGACAAGTATGATATTTTACAATGTATGTGTAATAAAGAAGTTGTCATCCATAAGAATGATCTTTGTCACGCTATTCTAACACAGATGAGAGAAGTTCAAGAAATGTTTTAGCAGCACGCTTCATTTCCTTGATAATCACTCAATCACTGTAAATTATCCATAATAAATAAAGGCAAGGGCTAATGTATTTATTTTCCTTGCATGTAAAATATTGTGATCTTTTACAAACCGTCTTCATCATTGTCATCATCATCATTGTCATCGTCATCGTCCTCACCACCAGACTCATCTATAGTAAGAGAACTAAGTTACAATGTTGTTGTCAACATTGTTGTCACAAAATGATATTTCAAGCCCACTAATATGTTTCCTAACATGAAATGTATTCCTGTCTATATCACTATCACAGAGTTTAGATTAAGTTAAAGGGGAAGTGTACACGAATAAATCACATTTATTCTTATGTGAATCAAAGTAAACTGTTTTAATTAGTTAATACCAATGTTTGAAAATATACACTCATTTTTCTTACAATGTAAGTATAACCCTCAAAATAAGTGCTGAAATGTTATGCCAATATGAGGTATTTGTTTGCCGAGCTAAACAGGCCAGAGTTACCGCCCTTTGATTATGACGTAATTGGTGCCACTTGATTTAAACTGGTCTCCTGTCTAGTCCCAAATCAAAAGATAATAATACTGATATTAATCACGTGAAAAAGAGTTTCTGAAAATACGAAAGAAGCATAAGAACAGAAAATGTAAGCAGCAGGATCCGGATTGAGCGTGTGTGTTTTCATTCATAACCTCGACTCAATGAAAATACCAAATATGTATAACAATGTTGACGTCCGTATGACATCACTATCGGAGGCGACTTTTTCAAAATGGCGTGTTCACTGACAACGACCGAAGTAGGCCTGAGTTTTGAAGGAAATTTTCGTTGTTGCAACGTATATGCATAAATGTGACATGTAAGTAGTCCGAAAATTCTGTCAGTCTGCTGGTTGTTATGTTCTTTTTGTTTTCATTGTGACCAAGGGAAATAGTCGGAAATTAAGAGAAGTACCGTCATCGTTGTAGCGTGAGTTTCGTCAGTTATGGCGGCATGCTTTCAAAAACTATAATATGTTGTGATGAATCTAGAAAATCATTGGAATACACCTTTTTCATTTAACTATCGCTATTGCTACGATACCTTTCCATGCATGTTCTAAAACTAATGAGCCATTGTATGCAACACGAGGCTTAACGGATACACTGAGTAAAATCTGAGATTGGCTTTGTATACATTTCAAACAAGTTTTCTTTCACAGCGGCATCTCATATCCTCGATATATTTCGTTAGATTTCACTGAAACACGTATTGGTGACAGAGTCCATTTGTCAGTGTTTTTTTTAACTGTATGAGGAATTCAGGGATTCGTGTAAGGAAGATGGTGTTGAATTATACAATTGATTTTATGGACGAAACATAACCGACATACATGTGATTTTATAAACACTATGTAATATGGCTGAAAATTCACTTTGACGTTTGCGTATTTTCCAAAACATTCTCTGCGATTCTCGGTTCATCGATAATGTTTCAGAACGAGCATTGGTGATTCGATCATGCAACAACAAAACTACCGCGCTGATCACAATGATCACGTCTTTTTCTTTTAAATTCAATTCTCCCAGTAAAATTTGACATTTGAATTAAGACAAAACATAAATTACGCAAAACGCAGTGAATGGTGATTTAGTAACGTGTCAAAACTGGCGAGATTTACGATGCATGTACTTTTCAGTAAATTTTATATACAATTAGCGGATGATATCATAGAAAAACGAATTTCAAACACTGTTCAAAACTGCAAATTACGTTTATCTGTGTGATGTATTTGGATATGTATTATCGATATCAAAGTGAAGGTGGAAGAGGAGGGACATATCGTACGATTTATGTAAGAACTTTAGTAACAAACGTAGAATGCCGGCACATTCACCGATGGCAAGCAAGATGTAGTGCATATACGTTTTAGGTTTCATGAAAAAAGATACTGTTGGAAAGGCGACCGACTCAGGTTAAATATGTTATACAATTTGGTTACATGGTAACACTTTTAGTACAATGTATACGTTTTTTCAAACTGCAACGTCATAACAGTGTAGAACTGACCACATAGTCAGCTGACGGCCAAGCAACAGGTGGATTAAAACAGTTGCCTGCGCATCGAGACACAAGAACCACACCTATACCTGCACCACGTGAAATGGGTCTAATAAGGTCTGACGACGTCATTCGTTTATCGTTTGGGCACCAATGACGTCATTTCCAAGGGACATAAGCCATGGTGTGTTTATTGTGGACATAGAACTCTTGGTAAATGTTGAAAATATGAATTAATATAACGCAAATAATAAATTAGTTACTTCTGATATATGTACAGGTTTGGATATAAAACTACTTGATAAACACTTTTTATGATGAAAAAGTGCAAGACAAAAAGGTTAATTTTCGTGTACACTTGCCCTTTAAGAAAATCTCATATGTATTACCAACATGCAAACTGATCTTTTCAAAAATGATTTCAAATTCAGATTAAATATCAGTGACAATACAAAGTTGTTCTCTATTCACAGTAAACTCCTCCTTGATTTCCCCAGGCATATACAGCTTGAAATAGCAGCTGTATTTTGTCTTTTCAAGATTGAAACAGTAATTATTGACTCATTTGTTCTATGACTGAAAGTGACCTTGAATTATGGAGAGTGAGAATGAATATGTACATGCAGCTACCACTCTCACGTCAGAAGCTCTGTCTACTAAATCATTGATGCAGCCTGGAATTCTATCACATAGTACGAGTGATAACACTTTGACTAAATATGTCATTGATGCAGCCTGGAATTCCACTATATATGCAATGTTACGTATTTATCATAACTGCGGTTCCTGCGTTTCATTATTTCTGGCAAAAGCAGTGAAAGGAAGGGGATCATTTTGGAGATGGGGGTGTTATGATATGGGGTCAGATAACAGCTGCAGTTAGGAGGCCAATGATTGTTATTGAGGGGAACTTGGGGAATGATGTGAGGTACCGCAAGTTTGCAAATGGCTGCTATACGGCTTTTGCAAAAGAACAGCCATGGAGTGACATTTCAACAAGAAGCCAGACTACATCGTGCCCAAATTCTACAGCAGTATCTTAATCAGAATAACGTTAGTGTGTTAACCTGGCCTGCAAGATCCCCTGATTTGTCACCCACTAAAAAGCTCTGAATCCGACAAACATCTCAGTAACTCTTCCAAATCCTTCCTAAGATATGGAATGATCTTTCCTGGGACTTTCATCAACATGTAGCAGTCTCACTGAGGCGAAGGTGCCAGGCCTGCATCAATGCACAAGGTGGACACTTCCCCACTGACCATGTGACCCCACTTAGGTGTTCTTGTTCATTTACATACACCAGATTCACTGTTCTTATGGACTGTTGGTCATTGAGACAGTTGTTTTTCCATGTAATATCATTTCATTCAACTGATTTTGTTTACTGTTTTTGTGTCACAATAACTTTAAGTATATGCCTTTAAGTATATATATATACATATATATTATTATATACTCACTGTTGTCATCATATCTATCTGGGTCTAGCTTGGCACACAGTCTTGGGTTCTGTGTATTCAAAGCATCCATAAATATTATCGGCCAGTGTGGGTCTTTCCTTGCCATACAACGAAACATGTGACGACATGCATGTTCTGGACCTCTCCTTACCTCTATCGCAAGAATCTCTTCATCATCGCCACTGTTGAATAATGGAATGAGGTTACTAACTATATCTGATGGAATTATTTTGTGTACCAAATCCCCTTGCAGTAATTTCAGCAAGAGCTCATACTTTTCAGAAGCTTTATCCATGTCTGTATTTCCAGGCCGATCATCAAGAACATTGAGAAAGTGCTGAAAACCTGAAATTGAAAATTTTATGTAGTGAGAAAATTGAACCATCAAATATATATGTTATTACACAGCAGTCATCCTGGAGTCAGAGGCAGGCGGAAAATTACATAAGTTGTCATAATGCCATACATGTCTCAGTAGTAACCTCACCCACAAGATACGACACACAAAAACAGGACATTGAAGAAGGCCTTATTTCCATCACTGAAGGAAATCTAACACTACTATGAGTACACAATTATCATTCAACACAGTTCAACAGGCTTGCAGTTCATTAGCCTTGAATCCATGGTACACCATGGTCTTTTTTTTAACCATGGTAGACCATGGCCATTTCCATGCTCATTTCAGCTGGTGAAGAAAATCATTTCAACACACCAATATCTCAATAATGAATGACACCCCTTTCAAACTTTCTTCAGTTAACATACCAGCAGGTCTCAGTGCAGCTAGAAATAATGGCACACGTTCCTCAGGCTCCTTCAAAATTGCCTTCACCAACTTTTTTGCAGCTTTGGGCCTCTTTCCATTATTTTCCAAACCTTCAATTTCTTCTTTTATGGCTTCTGGAATAAACAGAGAGGCCTATAAGTACTTGAGTGAGACCGTGAACAAGTGAAGGTTGTATATGTCTGTCTGCAATACCGAAGTTGTATGAAGGGTGCATTCAAAGAACTGTGAATGTCCAAGGAAACTAGTGTATGAAGACATGATCACTGATCCACACTGTAATGGACAGAGGCCATTGATTGACAAGGTCAAACTGTCTTGCCATCTCTACAGAAACTAACATTCTGTAACATGAACAAGCTTAACTGGCCTACCATAAGGGTGAAAATACTTTTGAAATTGTTTTAAGTTAAATTTAATGCTACCAATTTAACAGCTGCACTAAACTGACACCAAGTTCAAGATCAACCATGGACGTGGTTAAAGATATTTCAGTGGGTGATCACAAGATGGGGAATTATACAATGGAATACAATCCACATCATCAGGGGACACAATCCACACCATAGCAGGGGACACAATCAACACCATCAGGGGATACAATCAACACCATCAGGGGACACAATCAACACCATCAGGGGACACAATCAACACCATCAGGGGACACAATCAACATCATCAGGGGATACAATCAACACCATCAGGGGACACAATCAACATCATCAGGGGATACAATCAACACCATCAGGGGACACAATCAACACCATCAGGGGACACAATCAACACCATCAGGGGACACAATCAACACCATCAGGGGACACAATCAACATCAACATCACCATCAGGGGATACAATCAACACCATCAGGGGATACAATCAACACCATCAGGGGATACAATCAACACCATCAGGGGATACAATCAACACCATCAGGGGATACAATCAACACCATCAGGGGATACAATCAACACCATCAGGGGACACAATCAACACCATCAGGGGACACAATCAACACCATCAGGGGATACAATCAACACCATCAGGGGACACAATCAACACCATCAGGGGACACAATCAACATCATCAGGGGACACAATCAACACACCATCAGGGACACAATCAACACCATCAGGGGACACAATCAACACCATCACAATCAACATCACACAATCAACACCATCAGGGGATCAACACAATCAACACCATCAGGGGGGACACAATCAACACCATCAGGGGATACAATCAACACCATCAGGGGGGACAATCAATCAGGGGATACAATCAACACCATCAGGGGATACAATCAACACCACATCAACACCATCAGGGGACACAATCAACACCATCAGGGGACACAATCCACACCATCAGGGGACACAATCAATCAGGGGACACAATCAACACCATCAGGGGATACAATCAACACCATCAGGGGACACAATCCACCATCAGGGGACACAATCAACACCATCAGGGGACACAATCAACACCATCAGGGGATACAATCAACACCATCAGGGGATACAATCAACACCATCAGGGGGGGACACAATCCACAATCATCAGGGGACACAATCCATCATCAACACCATCATCAGGGGACACAATCAACACCATCAGGGGACACAATCAACACCATCAGGGATACAATCAACACCATCAGGGGATACAATCAACACCATCAGGGGATACAATCAACATCATCAGGGGATACAATCAACACCATCAGGGGATACAATCAACACCATCAGGGGATACAATCAACACCATCAGGGGACACAATCCACACCATCAGGGGACACAATCCACACCATCAGGGGATACAATCAACACCATCAGGGGGACAACACAATCAACACATCATCAGGGGACACAATCAACACCATCAGGGGACACAATCCACACCATCAGGGGACAACAATCACCATCACCATACAGGGGACACAATCAACACATCATCAGGGGACACAATCAACACCATCAGGGGATACAATCAACATCATCAGGGACACAATCAACACAATCAACATCAGGGGACACAATCAACACCATCAGGGGACAATCAACACCATCAGGGGATACAATCAACACCATCAGGGGATACAATCAACACCATCAGGGGACACAATCAACACCATCATCAGGGGACACAATCAACACCATCAGGGGACACAATCAACATCATCAGGGGACACAATCAACACCATCAGGGGATACAATCAACACCATCAGGGGATACAATCAACACCATCAGGGGATACAATCAACATCATCAGGGGATACAATCAACACCATCAGGGGATACAATCCACACCATCAGGGGATACAATCAACACCATCAGGGGATACAATCAACACCATCAGGGGACACAATCAACACCATCAGGGGACACAATCCACATCATCAGGGGACACAATCAACATCATCAGGGGACACAATCAACATCATCAGGGGACACAATCCACATCATCAGGGGACACAATCAACACCATCAGGGGACACAATCAACACCATCAGGGGATACAATCAACACCATCAGGGGATACAATCAACACCATCAGGGGATACAATCAACAACATCATCAGGGGGGACACAATCAACACCATCAGGGGACACAATCAACACCATAACGGGACACAATCAACACCATCAGGGGACACAATCAACATCATCAAGGGACACAATCCACGCCATAAGGGGACACAATCCACATCATCAGGGGACACAATTAACACCAGGGACTAGGACTGTGCAACATTACCGGTAAACCGGTACAGTATCTACCAATATGATAATCGAGGTATGGTTCAGATTCTGCAATATATTGGGTCATCCAAAGTTAACTCCCTTTGAATTATCTGCCCTTGATTTCCATTGCAAAAAATGTGATCTAAAAGTGCCAAATATATTTTCATTTCTCTTCGTTTCATGTGACATATTACAAGTGGAAGTGTCATTATAAGTGGCTCCAAAAGAGCCAAATATTCTGTCAAATGCTTTACGTTTTGTGGATTTCAATGGTTTCATTTAGAGCAGTTAAGTGACCTCAAATGGACCATTTTTTTATTTGGACTTATTGGTAGGGCCTCTGGCTCTCAGTGACCATTTCACAATTCACAGTATTTTGTTATTTTTTGTTTGTTTCATAATGGGACATGTGACATTAATTTATCATAAAAGTCTAAGTCTTATAAATTTTGTAGTACTGTATAATGACATTCTAGTCAAGGATCTTAGTAATTGGAGGTCACATGCGAATTTATGCTCAAGTAGTTCAATTAAATCATGTTTTTGTTTCGTTTTGCAATAGTTCATGTAAACACATGTTAATATTGGAGTTGAATCTGAAGGAATCACTGACATACAGTAACAATAAATACATACTGCATTGAAGTGCATTCTGTTGAAGCAAACAACACTGACCATGAAAATCATGTTATACTATTACCTTTATCATTATGTTCGCAAAACTCTGTTGCAATACCTCAATTAAACATTCCACTTTAAGACTCTATATCATCTTATTTATCTGTAAACAATTGGCATACAGCCATACACAATGGGAACGGGGAGCCTGAAAGTATCGTGTAACAGCAACTAAGACAATGATGTCGCACACAGAGAGCTATTATGAATTTATGATGTACGCACTTGAGCAGAAACCTTCCACTCAATATATCACAATATGTATTGCAATCTCTCATAAGTTTTTGCAATATATCGCATAATGAAAATCAGGGCAATATCTAGTCTCTCGTACAGACCCTGAAGCAAATATATCCAAGAAAGCCCACACAAGTCTAGAAAATATGGCAAGTCTAGATTTCCTCAGCTTCTGAAAATGAAGAAAGTCTCAGGGCTCCTTTTCATTATATATATATTTTTTTTACTATGAACTTTTTTCAGTAAAATATGTTCATTTCAGAGACTAGTTGTTAGTCTAGGCAATATCCATCCCTCCCAGGGACACAATCAACAACAAAAATTGTGTGGCTTTACCTGGTAAAGAAATGTCATCGATGATAGCCGATGGTGCAAGATAGTCTTCAAATGTGCCTTTCATCATGTCTATGATGAAGACCTGTTCTTCCAGTGACTGGGTCTTCTTTTTCAAATCTTCAGGAGCTGCAGCAGCACTAGCAGCAGCCATGGTTGAAGCTGTGCTGCAAACATACATGTCATGTCAACAGAACCAATCACTTTTCAAATATAATCATTGAGAAATATAAGAGACCACACAAATTGTTCCTATTGTGTTCAGATGCCAGCATGCACCACCTCCGAGACATAACCTGGTGACATGGGTCACACCGATATATGGCTGATTGTGTTCAGAGGCTAGTACACACCACGTAACAATCCGAGACACAACCTGAACCTGGTGACATGGGTCACACCGATATATGGCTGATTGTGTTCAGAGGCTAGTACACACCACGTAACAATCCGAGACACAACCTGAACCTGGTGACATGGGTCACACCGATATATGGCTGATTGTGTTCAGAGGTTAGTACACACCACGTAACAATCCGAGACACAACCTGAGCCTGGTGACATGGGTCACACCAATATATGGCTGATTGTGTTTAGAGGCTAGTACACACCTGGGGACGTAACAATCCGAGACACAACCTGAACCTGGTGACATGGGTCACACCAATATATGGCTGATTGTGAGATAGAGAACAGAAACCTTTCATCTTGTACCATTCAACTAATTACAGTGAATCACACTTAACTTTATTGTATAATCTGAATCTATCCCTTTATGCTGATATGGATGTCTTCATTGCATGTCATCTTATTAGGTGTGCCAGAACTAGTGCTCACGGGTTAGCGCTAGAAAAATGCAGATTGATAATCGGAGGTCAGTAATCGATCAATGATTAATTATGAAATGTGTTCCTGTAACTATGTAGAAAATGAGTACCACTTTTTACTGATTTGTACAGCCTATGATCATCTACGTAAACGTTTTATTCCTGTCGATGTTTTCACCCATTCAACCTTGTGTAAATTTAATCGACTGATGAGTAATGCTACTCCTCTGGTTTTAAGAAATCTTGCCTTGTTTATCTTCTATGCTAACTATCGTCGTCGCTACAGCTCGAAAGCTGCCAATGTATAACGTTGCACCATGGGCCGATGGCCTACATTAACATGAATAAAGACTATATACTATATATATATATACAATTGTTGATACAGAAAAATGTTTAGTTCAATTAGTATATAATTTCATGTTTTAAAGTTATTTTTTGTCAATAGGTTATCAAAAAAAGTGTCAAAATAGTGTAATAAATTTTCATGTTAAAATTTAGTTCATAGAGGTTCAGAAAGTCTATCTAGGCTATAACTGTTATTAGTTTTCCATAAGGTATTATCATGATTGTCAAGACTAGTTTATTTCCTCTTACTGTTAGTGATGCTCATCACAGACCACATGTTTTTTTATTGCCTCCATGTTGGAGATATCAGGAAGAGATAACTATCAACAGTCTATAGTTGTAATACACAATGGACATATATGTTATGATAATTATTATGATCAATGCTGTGATACTGGTGCATATATCAATCAACTTTCAACAATTTGTATAATTAGGCTTACCTTTGATTGTGCAACGACAATCTCTGAGTCGATGGGGAGAATTTGGTTGACAAAAGCTGCTCTGAAGCCCTGGTGCCCGTTAAACTACCATTTAAGATTTATATATGCATGATATGGGTGAGCATTACGTGTCTCATGTGATCTGATAGCACGGGTATTTCCTACCTTACGCTTCTCGGAACTCCAAATTCTCACTTTTGGTTTCGCTTTGAATAGAGGCGATCGTATTATGCATACCTTATATTGACCGCGTTTCCGGGAAAAACCCACGTACCCCAGGCCGGAAATAGAACAGCGTAGCCGTAGGTTGACTGACAGACTTTGAGTTCAAACGAGTCTGGCGATATTTGGGGGGATGTGTTCCAGATCAAGGGGATTTTGTTTTACTAATGCACATTTAATTTGTGACAGAAAAGAACTAATCAAGAGTAATCAAGAAATATCTTGATCGAGGCGAGATTTACATGGACCATTTAGACAAGCAAATGATTACTGGATCAACCAGATAAGCGTTTCAAACGCTCAAGGACATCGGTTGTTTTCTCGATTATTGTGGGAACTATTGTAAAATATGTTACATACTTACTAACGATAACGTTAACTTCAACAAAGGCATTGCTAAAAACAAGGTTCAATATCACAATTCAGTACACAACATCGTGCTGAAGAGTTTCGTCTGCTTCTTTAAAGGGAAGTAACTCCTGAAGGCCAAGTCTAAACTGGTATACGGAACAAGTTGCGTTTACAACAGGGCAGTACCCAGTTTGCGTATGTGAAACACAAGTCACAAGGCAGGCAATAATATATCCAGTATGTTTAATCCGGGCTATTATATAGTTGCTGGTAATTATTTATGATCAGGTCTTTTCTTAGCGCCACGGAATCGAAAACAAAAAGACATAATTGCGTTCAGTGTACATTTCGTTTAGATTTGGAGGTCAAAGTTCAGTGATGGTTCATGATTATTACTATTCCTTTTGACTTTCCCTTGGCCCTTTTGACTTTCCCTTGGCCCTTTTGACTTTCCCTTGCCCCTTTTGACTTTCCCTTGGCCCTTCTTTTGACTTTCCCTTGGCCCTTTTGACTTTCCCTTGGCCCTTTTGACTTTCCCTTGGCCCATTTGATTTTCCTTTGGCCCTTTTGACTTTCCCTTGCCCCTTTTGACTTTTCTTTGGCCCTTTTGACTTTCCCTTGGAATTTTTTACTTTTCTTTGGCCCTTTTGACTTTTCCAGTTTTGGCCACTTTGTCCTTTGGCCCTTTTGACCTGTTCCCATTCCAGGCGAGTAGCAAGCCATTCTTTTTTCGTGTTCGCCGGATAGGTTGCAAAGCTATATATTTAGATAGTATTGAGGGCTTGCTCAACAGGTTGCAAAGCTATATATTTAGATAGTATTGAGGGCTTGCTCAATAGGTTGCAAAGCTATATATTTAGATAGTATTGAGGCTTGCTCAACAGGTTGCAAAGCTATATATTTAGATAGTATTGAGGGCTTGCTCAACAGGTTGCAAAGCTATATATTTAGATAGTATTGAGGGCTTGCTCAACAGGTTGCAAAGCTATATATTTAGATAGTATTGAGGCTTGCTCAATAGGTTGCAAAGCTATATATTTAGATAGTATTGAGGCTTGCTCAACAGGTTGCAAAGCTATATATTTAGACAGTATTGAGGGCTTGCTCAACAGGTTGCAAAGCTATATATTTAGATAGTATTGAGGGCTTGCTCAACAGGTTGCAAAGCTATATATTTAGATAGTATTGAGGGCTTGCTCAACAGGTTGCAAAGCTATATATTTAGATAGTATTGAGGGCTTGCTCAACAGGTTGCAAAGCTATATATTTAGATAGTATTGAGGGCTTGCTCAACAGGTTGCAAAGCTATATATTTAGATAGTATTGAGGGCTTGCTCAACAGGTTGCAAAGCTATATATTTAGACAGTATTGAGGGCTTGCTCAACAGGTTGCAAAGCTATATATTTAGACAGTATTGAGGGCTTGCTCAATAGGTTGCAAAGCTATATATTTAGACAGTATTGAGGGCTTGATCAACTTTCGTAGCAAAAACCATGTGTAAGCCAAGACTTTATAATGGTAGCTACGCCCCTGTATTCGTCAAAATATCACATTGGAGAAAAACGTCTATTTTAAATTTAAATTAGAGGAGGAAAACTAGAAGTGCTGCAGAACATCAAGACGTTTGCGTCAAGAAAGATCAGGAAGAACTGTTTGAGGCATGGCAAATGTATAAGGATGGGGAACTGGGCCCTGCTGCGCTCTTGAACATGTGCTCACGTATCTATGGCCCTACCACGTCAGTGGAATGATTGCAGTGGAATGTGTATGATGATGTGTCTTGTGATGATGTTTGAGGTGATCTCTAAAGGTGAGTGAATTGTGAACATTTCAACCACTTGAACCACCATTTGAACATTTGAACCACTCAACTGTCGTGTGTATGATGATCACACTAAAAAGTATTACTTTTGTTATTATTTACATATTTCCATATTGACACAAATACAAAACAAAAATATAAATAATAATAATAAATATTAATATAATAAAACATAAAATATATATTAGTTTGTATGTTCTTTTTTTTACCTATGGCCATTTTGACCTAAGTCTATGGCCCTTTTGACCTAAGTCTATGGCCCTTTTGACCTAAGTCTATGGCCCTTTTGACCTAAGTCTATGGCCCTTTTGACTGTCTGTTGGCCCTTTTGACTTTTTCAATTTTGGCCCTTTTGTCCTTTGGCCCTTTTGACTACAACACCTGTTTTCTATGTGCAGAGTAACGTCTCGCTACGGCTGAATAACATTGGTTGAGTCAAGGTGACAGGTACATTTTATCACATTTATACGCTATATAGTAAAAATCTTGTCAATCATAGATAGCCAGTATTTAAAAGAAGAATTTGTAAATGAGAGTGTGTTCAAAAGAATTGTTTTAAATGTGAATTTACTAATGTATAACCCTTTGATTCCAAACAGTGCTTTCGATTTCATTTGTTTATTATTATCTAAATTTGACGTAAAGAGAAATTCAACTTATATATACATTTTCAAGAAGCATTACAATAACATGATTGTTAACTGCATTGGCCGTAATCACGATGAAAAGCTGATATGATATAACATTTACAACATTTTGTAAGTTTCATACTGTGGTCGCTAACGGTAAGCCATGTGCGTAAATACGGTTTGCTACGGTGTCTGTTACTGGTTGCTAATGGTCACCGCAATAGTGGAATCAATACATTAACATTTATTGCAGTTTATAAAACTCCATTTCAGAGCTACGTTAACTTCAAAATAGTAATTTGATGTTAAATTCGCGCCAAAAAAGCATAACGTTTGGCTTTACTTACACAATTTGTGCGTAAAGACCAGGTGGTGAAAAGTAGTTTCAGTTGAAGCGAGCCGTTACTCTGCACATAGCAAACCCTAACAATTGTAGCGGCCACTAGCAAAGCAAACGTCTTGTCGCTGGTGCGTATTACAGGTGATCCTGTGGAAATCTGTGCGTGGTGACACCATCGCCCGACCCCAAGGAGCAATTGATGACAACGCAACGATTCAGCATGTCTTCGTTGATGTCGAGAAATCATCAGAATGACGAGCTTGTTACACACTTTAATCCGTCCTCATATGACGTCACTGCAGTGCTCTTGCGACAGAGTTACGTAACCTGTCTGTGGTTTCGTTGGCGGGCGCGAGTGAAGCAGGCGACTTTTTGGCAACTTTTAATCGCTCAGTATTAATTAACCAAAAGTTTTTTAAGAATGAATTTGATGTTCCGCATAAGACTAACCACACATCTTTCCATTCTCTTCCCACAGAGGTTACTCCTGTCATATCTTCCTACGTAACCTCTGTTCTAATACGGCCATATTTCCCGGTTCTCGTAAAATCCCCTAGCGGCAAAAGATCGCAACACGAATTATCTCCCTTCTTTCCATCCAATCAGAAAGCCTGTTACATCGACTTAGATTCAACTTAACTAACACAAGCAAATGTGGGGCCACAAATATCCCCCATCTGCCGGTGACTTGTGTTGATGTTACACACAAGACGTTTAATGGCTAGCTTGTCCGTTGTCAACGAGGGCGATGGAGACGCCACTGATCCGCCATAACATGACTGAGTTCTGTCTAGAAGAAACGTTTGCGCATCGCGCAGGGGAAGAAGTTTAGTTTTCTCGAAGCATACGGAAACTACCGAGGCCTTGCGAATGATCACTTTTGAAACAACGTCGCTGATTGCACAACTAAATCTGATTGTCTCCAATCACGAGTCTTGAACGCTCACACCATGAAAGGGCCGTATTAGAACAGAGGTTATGTAGGAAGATATGACAGGAGTAACCTCTGTGGGAAGAGAATGACATCTTTCATGTAATGGTTAAAAGAGTAAAAAAAAACAAAGTTTATTTATTTAAATAACTACCGTATACGATGTCCTACGCAGTGAGGGTGATTAAACGGCTTACACCACGAGGGCATTCTTATTTAAGAACAATGGACATAATTTTCCCAAGTGGTTTAATCGCGGTTGCCTCCCTCTGGGTTTGCCCTTGCGGGTTTGTCAATGAACTGAGCCAGAGCCGTATGTTGTACACAGGTTGGAATGGCCCTAAATCCGCCATTTTCATTTTATGACGTCATCATCGAACACCTGGCTGACCTCATTTCACAGGGGTGTCAATGACCGTGGGAAACACATCATAGCATCACACCATGACATCACGCCATTAATTTGGACCAATCAGCATACAGCCAACTCACTCCGGTGTGACTCACCCTGACCGAGGGGTCAATGACCGCGCGTCCCGTGGGAAACACATCATAGCATCACACCATGACATCACGCCATTAATTTAGGCCAATCAGCGTAGAACAACTATTGGGGTTCACTGGACCACTGACCACAAACTAGTTTCGTCCGGTTTCAATTTTACCTATTAAAAAAACCCTCTGACAGTCAGTTGAAGTTATAATTTTGTCCTCTTACAAAATGTTTATATTTTCTATACTCAATAACCTTTTCTGCGGCCTGTGGAGAAAATCTGTCATCTCAGAGCGCGCGCCGTTGAGGCATGGTGAACTAACACTCGCAGCCTCCACACACTTCCCTCGTCTCACTCAGCCGAGGTGT